GTGACCATGAGCGTTAGAGTAAGAATTCCGACAGAAATTCCGATGCTTACTCCTGCAGACAATTCATAGCTGATCATAAATTTGGATGTAATTTGTATATGACAATGTAATACAATAAGAATATATGCACTCGGGGTATATATGTGCTTACCTTTATTGATATGCCCTGATGATTTCTCTGCAAAATATAGAACGCATTATTAATTAGAAGTGTTGGTGGATTGGTCGCGAATTCATTTTTAGAAGTCGAAGTGAAGTTTGATCACCCTATTTAACTATTATTTTATTATTAAATATAATAAATTATTTATAATTAATATTTTAAAATTAAAAATATATTATTTATTAATACAATATTTTAATTAGAACAGGTTAGGCTTCAAAATCAATACCAAGCTTGACTTGAGTAGAGGCGACCCGCAAGCCTAGATAAGTTTTCTAAAGCTTGGACACTTCTAAACTTTATATTAGAGACGTTGTAGTAATTATTATAACTAAAATGAAGTTAGTGGTGTTGTTTGAACATCACTATCTTTGTCGCTGAAATTTGGCTCTCACCCCATCCCAAGAGCCAATAAAGCAATATGCTAAATACCAAAAACGAAGAAAAAAAAAAGGCAGATGTACCTTCATGCTGGGGACTTTCATATGGAGGAATATGTTCATTGAAACATTCGATTTCCAAACTCTTATTATCCTTCAGTCGACATTCTCCTCCTCTGTCTCGACAATCAGAACCGCACTCCGGGATTTCCCATGAAAGTTTTGTGAAATTATACAACGAAGTGACGGAATATGATTCCCCCATGAGAGATTGGATATCATCGATATAAGGTGGGGTAACACTTGCAATGGGGTGGCAAGAAGAGAGAAGATCTTGACTCATGTAAGTTGAATCAGAGACACCATAAACAGGGTGATTGGAACTGCTGAGACAATCTATGTGTACTACATCTTGTTTTTCAATTCTTGACGAGCAGTTGAGCAGTATGGAATGATCCCCGAAAATCGTGAAAGGACTTGTTGTGACGGTCAGGTTTATAAGCCTTCTCGCCATGCAACCCTGGGGGTCACCTATGTAAATTTTCTGGTAATCGTAATCTATTTTAGCTACGAAAACCTGCCCTGATTTTGGAATTTCAATCAGTGTTTCATTCTTCTCAGAGCAGGATAATTCACACCTTGGGTAACCACAACTCTCTGCCTGTCGATCTTTAAGCCTGAAGGGAAAACGGATCGAAGGACCTTCTTCACTGCAAGCTGCATCTGAACATGATCTCCCTTCATCTCCATGGCACAAATATAAGAGAAACATAAATAAATGAAAGGCTGTTACATTTTTTGGAGTCATTTTGTATAGGGCAGAGCTGCTGAATACAAAGCAAGCATAGAAACTCTTCAAGGTTGGTTAGACTATATCAGTACTATCTAACAGCCCAGAGACCTCCACGTAAGAAAACTTTTCTCTGGTTTTGACGTTATGAATAGCAAACGGCAGTCCCTTTCACCGAAAAGGGAAAATCAGCACGATGAGCGTGGATTGACCGGCACCTCGCCCTTTCCAGGAGGATTCCTCTCAATGCCTTCACGAATCTTGATGGAAACACAATGCACAGCAGTAAGTCAATTATGTAATAGTAGAATTGGCAAACAAACTGACAATTGTCTACAAACGACTCTTAACAAATAAAGAGGTAAAAGAAAGGAATAAAGGAGATCCTGATTCTTGCATTTACAAACTATTAAACGTAAGTTCAGGACTCCATTTGCTTCACTTCTCGCCATGCCAGTTCTTAACCTCCTAATTATAGCCTTGTTCTTCCTTCCAATCTGCAATTCTATGAATCAATCATCTTGTTCTTCTTATTGTGGAAATTTATCAATACAGTATCCATTTCGATTAAGAAATGATCCTGCAAATTGCGGACATTCCTTGTATGAACTTGCTTGTGAGCATGAGCGCACCGTGCTAAAAATAGATCACGGTAGATTTTATGTCGAATCCATCTCTTACGATAACGAGACCCTTCACGCTGTCGATCCTGGTCTAAAGAAAAATGACTGCTCCTCCCTTCCCCGTTATTCCTAGACACAAGACAACATGAGTTATGTTAATGTCTATAGAGACGACAACTACAGCCACAAGGAGTTACTTCGGCCATATTCGTTGTCGGATACCATGGTTTATCTTAATTGTTCAACCACAATGAATTCTTCCGAATATCTGGACGCTTCTCCTTGCATAACTAATTCTTCCCTACCACAAGCTCACCATCTGTATGTTTTTCTTGGAAATCTGCCTGCAGCATCCCTCTCCAACTCTTGTGACTATTTCATGATGACTCCAGCGGTGATTCAAACAATTGGAAATCACACATATGCTGATATCCACAAGAAATTGACCAAAGGATATGAGCTTTCATGGAGTCAATCTTTTTGTTTAATTTGTGCATTCAATGGAGGATATTGTCTTTATTCACTTAACCTTCTTGAATACAAAAGCGACAAGAGAATCTGCAGCAGAAGACCATTGGCGAGTGTTAATTGTGAGTAAGAATCCTTAACGATCTATTTTGGTTGCTGAGAAAATGTATTTAAGGATATAAACCACTGAACTATTTCGATAAACAACCGCTAAGGCATCAAGTGAGAAAGATACCAAAGTTTCTTCTCATGCCCCATTTGTCTGGTTTGATCATTCTTTTAACATCACTTTTTCTGATTTATAAATATTAAATAATGATTTATCTGTTGCAGTTTCAGGTGTTGGACGATATTTGTGGAGCAAAATAAAGGGTAAGCCTCCAAAATTAAGCACAATACAGGGTAAGCCCCCAAATAACTTTACTAATAATTCATTGACTATGTAAATCTGCATAAACTTGATCGAAATCATGCTGATCTACGTTTTAATGTAACGGAGACTCAAAAATAGAACAAATGAATGAAAACCTGGTTTCATTGAAATTTAACATTATCACTTATTTCTTAGCATGAGTCTAATCTGTCCCCACGCACCCACTCCTCCTTCTCTGTCTTACAGGCTGCGTAGGACTCGTACTGGAAATTGTTGGTGAGTTTTTCATAGAACATACTCCAGGCTAGAACATGACATTTTACATAACTCAATCTGTTTTCTAGAAAGTGAGAGATCCTTCTATCCCCTTGCACAGTTAATGAGGAGCTTGCCCGAAATTTGTGAACTCCTATGGGAAAGAAGGTTTTAATCAATCTTGATAGATACCAATGATGAAGGCACATATCCCAATGATGAACAGTATTTGACAAATATCATGTATAGTAGCATTTCTTTTCAGTCTAATTGTTTATGTACTGGCATTTGCATTTGTTTTCTACCATGTGAAGGGTATTTTACTATGGCAAGAACTACCGTTGGAATCCTATGCATGTCTGTCTTTCTAATTTATAAATGGCGGAAAAGCGCATCCGTTGATGAATATGTTGAAGAGTTCTTGTGAAACTATGAGAACCTTAAACTCAGAAAATTCTCCTACTCTGACATCAAGAAGATGACTGGCGGCTTCAAGGAACAACTGGGTCAAGGCGGTTTTGGCTCTGTGTTTAAGGGAAAGATATCAGATGGTTGTCTAGATTTCATGACAAAGGCAAGGGCGATGGGCACAGTCCGTCATTTAAACGTGGTACAACTTCTTGGGTTCTGCTTTGAAGGATCTAAAAAGGCTCTCATATATGAGTACATGCCCAATGGATCTCTCGATAAGTATCTGTTCTCTCAAGAGGATGTTTGCACTTTAAGTTGGAGCAGAATGTATGAGATTGCTTTAGCCATAGCTCATGGGATTGAATATCTACACCGAGGTTGTCCCGTGACGATTCTGCACCTTGATATTAAGCCTCATAACATCCTTCTTAACGAAGACTTTTCGCCAAAAATTTCTGATTTTGGCCTTGCCAAGTTGTACCCAAGACATGATAGTGTAGTTTCTCTGACAAATGCTAGAGGAACTATGGGATACATGGCTCCAGAATTGCTGTATAAAAATATCGGAGGCATCTCCTCTAAATCGGATGTTTACAGTTTTGGAATGTTGTTGATGGAAATGGCTGGGAGAAGAAAGAATCTCGATCCGTTCGTGGAGAATTTGAGCCAAATCTACTTTCCATCATGGATTTATGATCAACTAGAACAAAAGGGTGAAGTGGAAATCAAGGATGCGACAGCTGAGGAAAAGGATATAGGCAACAGGATGATCATAATTGCTCTCTGGTGCATACAACTGAAGCCTGCAGATCGTCCTTCCATGACCAAAGTGGTGGAGATGCTTGAAGATACTTCAGAGCCATTGCAAATGCCACCCAAGCCTGCTTTAGCTCCAGACAGGAAACGTACCCGAGGGTCTGCAGAAATCTACGATAAGGAATCTCTTTGATGAAAATTCTCTTTGATTCTATGTGTGTGCTTGTTCTTATTCTTATTATGTGCATCTGTAAGAACATATTTACAGTTGAACAACCACCAATAGTATCTTAATATGACAGTGCTTAAGTATCAAACAGATTAACAAAACACTACCATATTACACAAATTACCACTCATAATTCACAATTCTTTCATAATCTTTATGCTAAAATATGAAATAAGAGTTCTTATTTCTTTGGGAGCATAAGTTTTGTATTTTACTGGTGCTTTATCTTTATCTAAAGAATCAAAATATATAGTTATTGGACCAAGCATCAAGGGATTTTATAGAAATTTAGAAGGTGAGTGCATCACTTGTATTAAAATTCCATGCTGATATCTGAGTGTCAGTAGTTGCAATGTAATTCATCACATTCACATCTGTTAATAATGGGTTGATTCGTATAGATGACAAATCACTTGTTAATTCACAGTCACATCTTACAAAACTTTTCTGACATTGCTCGATACTATTGAAGAATATAAAATTGATTATTTGAAGAATAGTAATATTTGATTAAAAAAAAAAAAAAACTTACTCCTGGCAATTGGTGTTCTATCAGATTGGGGAATTAATTTGGGCATTGCAGTTAGCAGGGAGAGACGAGGCTGCATCTTCCTTAATTGTGGGGAATCGGGCAGCTGCCTGCTTAATACAGTTGCAGGCCTCCTGCTTATCTGCGGTGGTCTCAGCAATTTTCTGGAGCCTCCCCACACCACCACAGCACTGAGCCGTGGGGTTACCGGTCCCTGAGGTAAGGTAAGCGACGCAAGGAGACAAACATTCATTGACTTGATGACAACTTACGGTAGCCTGTCCTTGCTTCACCATGAGTTGCAGAATGGCAAGCATAACATAAACTGAGATGACAACACCCTCCATTGTTTTGAAAAATGGAGACAATATGTGAAACTATGCAAGGAACAGATTCTACTCATTTTCTTAGATAGAGAAGATAAAATTTGGGCATAATTTTGCCCATTCTTTTTTGGGTAAGTACGGCCCCTTGGACTGTCCACTAAGGCCTTTTTGTGGTTTCTTTTTAAAATATAATCATAATCATTTTAATAAGTTTTAAGCATATATAAAAGTTCAATTCATTAATTTAAGAACATAGTTATTCAAAGAGTAGGTCAATAGGTAATAATTTCGTATCCTTTGAGATTTATTTATTTATTTATTTTAAAAAAATAAGATTTGTATTGAAATAAGATGAAAGTACAAAATGTCGAATCAAATCTTTAGCCTTGAACAGGGAGGCAGAAGACTTGAAGTAGGATGAAAGCTCAATCCATTTCTTTTTTTTTTTATTTTCATACTTTGAAAATGTCAAAAACCTGACCCATATATAATAATAAAAAAAGAAAAATTTGAATATGAAATGCATATAAGTTAATTATTAGTGCTTGATTTGTCTTCCAAATTATGGTAGTTATGAATATGGAAATGATTGTGAAGCTTTGATTTCAAATATTGCTATGGGCTATTAATAGAAAACTAAATAAATTTTTATTAATTTTAAATTTTATTAATTTTATAAAAAAATTTAAATACACATTACATAATCTCGTTAAACACATAACGGATATGAATCATAATTTGAGCAAATACAACATTATTTAAGATAATTGAGGAGATGAAAACACTCAATGGCTTCTTTACAGCTTTATTTCTTTTAATTCCCAGTGGCTTCCCATCTCAGTGTATCCTGCATTGCAAGAAAATGGAGAAGGAAACAGTGTTCAGCAGAGTTTTGATCATGGAATAATAGAATTGTAAGTACATATTACTTGAAAAAAAAAAAAAACGTACGCTTGGCAATTGGTGTTGTTGGTGATTGGGAAATGAACTTGAGCATTGCCTTTGGCAGAGAGGGTTGAGGCTGCATCTTCCTTAAGAGTGGGAAACCAGCAACAGCTTGCTTAATACAGTTGCAGGCCTCTTGCTTGTCTGCGGTGGTCTCAGCAATTTTCTGGAGTCTCCCCACACCACCACAGCACTGAGCCGTGGGATTACCGGCCCCTGAGGTAAGGTAAGGAATGCAAGAAGCCAAACATTCATTGACTTGATCACACCTCACGGTAGCCTGTCCTGGCTTCACCATGAACTGAACCATGGCTAGCACGACTAAAGTTGAGATAACAACACCCTTAGTTTTGCTTGTCTGAAAATGGAAATAGAATGTGAAAATCTTCGACCGAGCTCTCCTGTATGTTTGTTTAAGTCTGGGTATGCCCTGATGAAGGGAAATCTCCTTTGGGGTATATATATATATATATATAGGATTTTGGTGATAACAAAGACAAAGAGTGTGCGAGCCATGGCCATGGCTAGTCAAGGTTAGTTAAAGAGCTTTGGCTTTCCTCTGGCTTTGCCTTGAATTGTCACTTGGAATTTCCTCAAATAGTCAAGAGATCAGAGATGCCATGACAATGGCAGCAACAGATTCTTCATTCTTGGCTGATTCTCTTGCCCCCGAACTGTCACTTGGTTTCTAAGTAAAGGAAGATAAGCTTCTTCCTGTTTAAGCTTTTATCAACCATGATGTAAGTGGACAAGTGACTTTCTCATTGCAATTCAGAGAAGTATCACACTGCTGACATAACCGTAACCAATCCTTCTTTTCACTAGGCATGAAGCAGAGTTTCGAGATCAAGAAATAAATTATTTTAGAAACTAATCAAAAAAATGTTGGCCTATTAATTTTCCTTTTTTTTTTAAGGTAACCTATTAATTTTCTTAATGGAGGATATGTAAAGTCAGAGAGAATTTACTTTAATGGGTTCAGAGATGATAAAATAATCGTTATATACTAAAAGACTTTCTTCATGTTTTGTTAGAGAATAATCTAACTCTTAAGAAATAAATAAGTTCAATTTGTTTGGTTTAGTTTGTTTGTTGTCTCTTAGGTCATTATTCATCAAGGATGCGGACTAGAATCATATAGAAATTAATTTTTTTCTCAAAAGGCAATAATTTTATTAAAAATAAAAAAAAAATCGGGGAATGAAATTATACAACCGAATATAATAACAAAAATAAAGAAAAAAAATTCAAAAAATTAAACAGATACAAAATATCCATCAATCTGCAATGAAATTAATTTTTCTTTTTTAACAATTTAGAAGTTTAAAATAACTAAGCACCCAATTATATTTTTTTTAATTTAAAGAAAGTAAATTCAAATTTTACTTTTTAAATAGAAAGATTATGTATCAATTATTGAATTAAATATTTACTATTAATTATATATGTTTAATAACTCACTGTAGCCTTAATTAATCTATGCACCAACCTGCTGCGGGAATCAGAAGAAACCCAACAAAGACAATTCCCTAGTGGATATTTTACCTATTAAGGGAGACTATGAAAAAACCTACCGACGACCAGCCGCCCCACCAGCAAATCAGAAGACTCAGAGCACTTTGTCAATGCATCAAAGGTTCTAGCAAACATGGCCACCTGTCTCTGACCATTCCCATGTGTCTCACACGCTCCCACGACATCAAGTTCACACGCAGGCTTTTTCTATTAAAGGGCAACAAAGGATGGTTTTGTTTAGATAATGAAAGAAAAGTTACATGTTTAAAGTTTAAGGTTGTAAGAAAAGAAGGAGCCAGACTCTTTAATAAGGATTTTACTAAAATAAATAAATAAATCGTTTGTACGTAAAATTTGATTTTCGTCTATTCATCAGTAACCAAGTTAATTTTTTTTTTTCAAAATGTGATTAAATGATAAATTAAAAAAACTTAATCATGTGCAACTATGGAGATCAGGAGGGGTTTTATTTTGTTTTTTAAAAATTTTTATAAATTTTTAAATTCAAGAATCGGTAAATTATAAATTATATCATCTATATGATTACTTTTTGAGAGGGACTGTGTTGTCCCCCATACTTTCATTATATTTTTATGTAAATATTGTTGAATGGTGTTGCATTAGGCGCTTTCAGGTGAATATTTTTATATCAATTTAATTTTTTAAACCGTGGAATTTCTTTTAACCATCTAATTAATTCAATGAATTTTATTAGAGAAAAAATATATAATTCAAAGGGTTGCTGTGAATTAGCAAGTGTAGGAAATTTTCATAATTAAACCTTTTTTTTATATTATTAATACAATATGCTGAGATACATGATCTTTTACAACCATGCATGATTTCAACACTATTTGAAGTTTGAACATAACAAACTTAGGATAGTAGTTGAAGAGGTGACAGCAACACCCCATTTGGCTCCCTCAGCCTTATTTCTTTCTCTTGATGCCTTTCCCATCTTAGCCGATCCTGGCCAAAAAAGTAAACAGTGTTAAGCATTAGGATCATAGGTAAAATTAATGTAAATAAATAAATATATGTAAAGAAGAAGACTCTCACTTCGAGCAATCGGTGTTCTTGGAGATTGGGAAATCAACGTGAATCTTTCACTTAGCAGGGAGAGATGCGGCGTCGTCTTCCTTCACGGCGGGGAGGCGAGCAGCAGCGTCCTTAGCACAGGTACAAGCTTCTTGCTTGTCAGTGGGGGTTTGAGCGATCTTCTTGAGCCTCCCCACACTGTCGCAGCACGCCACCGTGGGATTCCCGGCCCCTGAGGTAAGGAAAGGAACGCAGGGTTCCAAAGCATCAACAACTTGTTGACAAGTTACGGCGGCCTGGACTCCAGGCTTAACCATGAACTGAACCATGGCTACCACCACCAAAACTAAGATAACACCACCCTTCATTTTTGCTGTAACAGGAAGACTTAACTGTTGTTTTGAAGGTGAGCCTTTCTCTTCCTGCGGTGATGCACATTGGGAAGCCCAGGATGGGGTTATATTTAGCAAGCTTGAAACTAGCAAAAACAGGATAGGTGTGATCCCATAACTCTTTGCAGTTACATAACTTTGGCTGCTTCTTTTGCTTTCAAATCTCATTTGGCTTCCATCGAATAGTAAAGAGGGTATGCTTTTTGCATAATCTTTGCTCTTTCAGTTACTTTTCGTTAGTGGCCCTCATGAAATGTCAGGTGCCTCTTGCTTTTGTTCATTAGGGAAGCATATATCTCACCTGCATCGTTTAAGATGAAAAGAAACTTGTCATGGTAATTTCGATGCGTGCATTGAATAAAATAAACATAGATTTTGGAGATTCGGTCTGATATAGAATTTCTCCAAATAAATTTTTATTTTTTTATTATTATCAATCAAATTTTTATAATTTCATTTTATATTAAATAAATCTTTCTTACTAACCATTAATTAAATATGATTAGTTAAAATAACATTTATCATTTTCATATTCATTTAGTGTTGTCATTTTACATGTCAAGAGTGAAATTGTTATATGATAACATTATCATGTCATGTTACTATTTACTATAAAATGTTAACATATTATGTTAACACTACATAATATATGTAAATTATCAATATATTTTAATTAATAATAATTAATTAAATATTAATCATAAAATACTATTCACTCAAAATGTACCAAAACTTGACTGATTGAAATAAAATAATGACAGTTTATTTGAATTTTTTTTTATTTGTTGAAGAGTTTTCATAATTATTATGCCATTAAGTGTGAACCTTCATGCTTAAACTAATTCACAAGCGATCAATATATCACTCTCTTTAAGCATTTAACAAATTTAAACTTGTTAGAAGGAAAATGAAAATTAAATATATATATATTGTGAACATAGCACTATATTTTTAAAACAAGTAAGCATATTAGCAATTTGGTTTTTTTTTTAAGTCTCGGTCCGTGTATAAGATATTTAAATCTTTGCAACAACTACTTAAAATAGCATATATATTCCCAAATCTATTATACATCAGAAATCAAGTGAGGCAGTATTATAACAGCGACAAAAGAAATAAGATTGGAGAAACGTAGACTGTCATCTATGATCAAAATAATTTCATGTAGGAAATTTTGAAAAGCAAACCCAAAACATCCTGCTGTTGTCTTTTCAATTTTTTTGATAAAATTAATTTCTGCAATCAAACTCGTCGTAAATTTTATGAATTGAATTGAATGCATCAAATGAAGACTGCTCCTCCGCATTTTCTAGAGGTCGTGTCTGGTGAGCGACGCCTTGGGCACACTCGAACAGGTTCAGTACTGTTACTCGAGCCGATCAAGTGAGGAAAATTGAGCTTCGCTTTGGAGCCACGAATCTCGAAGGCTGCTTTATCGTAAGCCAAAGCTGCGTCCTCGGGCGTCTTGTAAGTCCCTAGCCAAAGCCTCACACCTTTCTTCTTAGGGTCCCTTATCTCTGCCGCGTACTTCCCCCATGGCCTCCTTCTCACCCCCCTGTAACTTACTTCTTTTCCACAAGCCGCCGTTGCAGCCTCGCCTTGGCTCGCCTTCAGTGGCCGCACCTCTGCTTTCTCAGGCGCTGTTGGGGAGTCAGTAGGATTCGACAGAGCTGGACATCCAGAGCTAAACTCGCTGTCAAGTTTCAACGGCTGAGTACTGGCATTCAGGGGAAGGCTAGTGAAGCTAAAAGTCCTGCAAAAGTCCGAAGATTTCAAAGAAGCTTCAAAGTCATCAGCGAGAAGATGTTCGCTGATGGAGTCCAAGACAGCAAGATCATGATCAGATGCTGATGCTGAGGTACTCTCACCCCACATTTTTCTCCCTTGGGGTTTCTGATGAACAACAGGTGTTGGACTTGGAAGGCAACCCTAAACCTGGCAAAAGTTAGAACATGCAGTTGTGGGCTTAAAAAGGAAGAGGAATCAGCCATTTCTCCACACATGAAAATCAAAAGCAACTACTGCCTTTGTTTTTGGTTATTGTGATGGCACTTTCCCTGTTTCTAAGAAATTTCTTTCTTTCCTTTTATGAAAAACTATAAGGTTTTGTGAAACACGTGGTCCTAGTGATTGTGAAATTTTGCATAGAAAATTGCTGTTGGAATCAATTGAGTCATCCTTACATTAGCGTGCTGATTAAGGATATGTTACGCAATAACAACAGCATGGGTCTTTGTTAATTACATTTTGTCATCAAATTCTTGACTTAGGGTAAGAGACAAGTTCTCATAAGTCATAAACTACTCTTTGGAAAAATCCATATATTTTCTCTATTTTTTTTTAACAAATATCAATTTCGATGGACTCTTGGAAATGAACACATAAGCTTTCCTATCCATTTTGGTTTAACTAAATATCCAAAATTTTCCTTTTTGTCTTTTTTAAAATATCTCATATTAAAAAGTATTAAATATCCATAATATTAAAAAAATTCATTATATAAAATATGAAGGTGAGTAGTAATATGCTTTTATTACATTCAATTAATTAATTATACTTAGTTATTTACATTAAACATAGTAATTAATATCTTTAATTATTTAATTATAAGCACATACTAATAGGATTTGTTTTATCATATTTCAAATACACACACCTTATATTTGATAATTATTTGTATTTGAAGATAGATGTTTTTTTTTTTGAAAAGAATAAGTTTCGTATACATTAAAGAAAAGAAAAATCGAAGTCTCGGCTCAAGTTTACCACCATAAACTCAACTGCAGACTTGCATAAGTAGTAAAAACTAATTAGTAACAGTAATAAAGTTAATTTTTAAAGAATGATACCGTCTTCAATCAGTTTAATTAATTTATTCATAACTCTGAAATTGAAAGGTGCAATCAGGAATAAAATCTAAATGATGGATTTGTTTTTTCCTTTCTTATTTATTCTTTCAGTACTGCACAAGAATATTTTACATTCACCTGAAATTAAAGAATTAATGATGATTACATACTAAAAGAAAGACAATATTTAAAAGATTAAAATACCAAAAAATAATACCCACATGATTTCCACATGCTATATTAAAATTAAAAGAAAGCAATTATTAGTTATAAAATTCTCAACACCTGGGCCATGGCCAAAAAAACAAAGAAGAATATATAGTATTGAACCCCATACCATAGAAAATGTAAGCATCTGATGCCTTTTTGACATCTGAAGCTCAGAACACCCATCTAGCTCTACCCTTTCTTTGTTTTTATTATCGGGTTCTCCATGGAAGACGTTAACACAGAAGCTGAAAGGTATAACATTTTCTATGATTAATAAGTTAAAATAATTACTAAATTACGGAGGAAACGTGGATCAAAGATCATGGAATCAACTTTTAGGATGTGGAAAATCTTTGTGTTCAGATCTTTGGCTTGGAAAATTATGGGCGATGTGCTATGACTTATCTTGGAAAAAGGGTTCCTCTAACTCGGTTTCTATGAACTAGATAAAAAATCTTAGACTAACGTAATATGATTCACGTATCCTCTTCATAAGTCTTTACCATCACACCTTTTGTGATGTTCTGATTTGAGGAATTGGTACAAGAAGCTTGCTAGTCTATATTAGGGCAACAAAACCTAATTTGTTGAAGACATAGTCTAATTACTTTTGTTCCATATATTTAATTCTTTCTTCGGGAAGCTTTTGAATTAATTTCTTTGTTTATAAAGGGGAAACGAGTGGGGAAAGAGTATGGAAAATATATATGCTGAAAGTTAAGTTCCATTTTCTTCTTCCTTATTCCTACTCGTAGAGAGATTAATAAGTTTATTTGTTACAGAAGTTCATATCGGAAACATTTACCGGGGGGTTATAATTAAATTGTAACTTCCATTTGTTTCAATGAAATATTTACAGACTTATAAAAAAAATAAAATTTCATATCGGATAGATAAAAAGGACAAAGAGATTCTGAGTTTATAACTCTTTAAACTTTTGAATTAATTTCTTTGTTTATAGAAACAAATGGGAAACAAGGTACGAAAAATATAAATACTGAAAATTTTATTTGAGTTCAATTTTCACCTTCCTTGATCCTACTTGTAGAGGGATTAATTAAGTTTATGCACAATCAAAAGTTAAGTGAACTAATTCATATAATTTACTATTGCATGATGCAATCTAAAGCAAAAAAAAAAAAATTGATTTTAACATGGGATCGGGCAATATCCATTCAACTACTACCTTCTTGTCTTATTGTGGACTTTCTATCCTAGCTAATCAACTGATGACTATGATCAGTAAAATTAATTGAAGGGGCAATTCCATTGGTGTTCCTTATAATAGTAATTAAGTATATACTAAACATTAAGCTTATTAGCTTATAGCTAAAATTAGAAAAGAAATGAGCGTGTCCGAAGATGGATTAAATTATTAAGCGTGTTACATGACACTTTTACATGCATCATTTAACAGTATTAGGCACTTAATGTTGTCTAAATAATCATCCAATCAGGTGACCTCAACTCACAAATTCTTGGAAATAAAAACAAATTAAAATATTCCAAATCAACAATCCTTTCTTAAATTTTTTAATAAAAGAAAGAAACGTGCTGTTTTATACCAATTAAATAATAATTAGTGCTTCTATGAAACTTTAAGGTTTAGTTAAAGAAATACAAACATGTGATCGAAATCCTCCCCCACTTCAAATTACTTATTTCCTCAGAGCTGCAAGGGAACATTCATGGAAATGGCTTGGAAAAGTTTAAAGAATTCAAGGTCTTGTTAGTTCTTATTAGATTAGATTGTTTCCTCCTATAAAAACCATAATACCCTTCGCCCAAGTCTTCACTCACACTCTGAAAACCACCCACAGTTCCCAATTTTCGAACAACAAAAGCCCAAAACAGGAAAAGTTTCGTGACTTTAGCTGATCATAAAGTGAAAAAGAAAATGAATGTGGAGATTGTGTCAGGGTCAGAATTCAACATCCTTGAATCTTTTCAACACCATCTCCTTGATGATTTTGAGGAACCTCAAGCAACAACAACGACCAGCAATGCTGTTCTTGAACATTCCTACAACCGGAGTTCAAGTTTCAGTGGTGTTTTCTTGAACGAAAGTTGGGGTGATTTGCCTTTAAAGATTGACGATTCCGAGGATATGCTGGTTTACAGTGCTCTGCGGGACGCGGCAAATTCTGGGTGGAGTCCCTCGAACGAGGTTGATAATTACACGCCGGTGGCTATTGAAGAATTAGTGTCGACGACAACCAGGGAAGTAGAGAAAGAAGAATCTAAGGTGAAGCCTGAGACCAGCGTGCCGCCCAGGGGGATGCATTTTAAGGGAGTGAGAAGAAGGCCATGGGGGAAGTACGCGGCGGAGATTAGGGACCCCAAGAGGAACGGTGCGAGGATTTGGCTCGGGACGTACGAGACGCCCGAGGATGCTGCCTTGGCTTACGACCGAGCCGCTTTCAAAATGCGTGGGGCTAAGGCCAAGCTGAATTTTCCTCACTTGATTGGCTCCAACACTGGGGAGCCAGTTAGGGTAGGCCCAAGGCGCCGCTCACCGGAATCTTCAGCTCCGATGACGGCGTCAGCATTGAGCGATTGCTCACGGAAGAGAAGGAAGAGTAGTGCAAGTAACTCCGATCAGGTTACAGCCAAGCTGCGGGAAGGTGCAAGTTTAGCTGCGGAGGTGATTCAAATGAGTACTCCCTGGACGCTTGGAGACCAGTTTTGGATTATCTAGCTAATTAACTTAATTAATTAAATCCAATCTATTTTCTCTGGATTGAAATAATATTAGTTGAGAAATATAAAAAAAAAAAAACTAATAAAAGGTTAAGATCTGATTTTTTTTCATGACCAGAAGAGGGTCATTTGGTTCTATATATGTATTACCACCAAGGGTTTTTTTTTTTTTTTCCAAATTTACTTCTTGAAGTAAAATTGAGAAGTGAGAACCTTTGTAAAATTTAAGTTGTTGTTTGATTGTTCTAATAAACAATTTGGTTTTGGTTTAGATATATTTATCCTCCTCACAATGATCGCGATTTTATTTAAAAAATAGTTTATTTAAATTTTGATAAAATTAATATGTTCAAAATTAATTAATTTATTAATTAACTTATAAATTATAAAATAACAAAGTCATAAATCTTCTATTGTCTACACTATTTTATATGCTTGTTTCCATTCATCATGCAATAATTTGATTAATTAGTCCTTTTTCTATATTTTTCCTAAGTAAAGTAAATATATCGAATCACAAATTAATAATAACGTAAAATTTGACAAAAACCAATCTTATTTTTAATATACCAACATCTATTTGCCACATATTAATTAGTTTTCGATATTAATCACATTTGACTAGGACACCTAAAAAAACACATAATATCAAATTCGATTCGAATCTATTGTCAAATGATTTTAAAAATTAACGCACCCAATTAGTATCAAACGACCGACATTTTACGTCTAGCCATCTGCATCTTGACAACAACACCAATGTACGTTTGTCCTTATTGATTTTGTATGCTTGCCTCAAATGTTTATTAAAGTGAAAAAAAGAGCAACAAATTTTCAAAGTAGATGAGCGATCTAAGACTTAAGCGGAACGAGTAGGACAGGCTCCGACATTGGTTTCCCAAATGAGAGATTTGGTCAAAGGAAAAGCTTAGAACAAACCATGAACGCCATCTGAAAATGCTGTTCCAGCTAGGTTGTCCTTGGTACATATGTTCTCTCTCTCTCTCCATTATTTCCTTTCTCACCATGGGATTGCCGGACTTAGTTTGTACTTGCCATTGGCAATTACCGTACACTGTCGATTGTTGACTCATAAGTTTGGCCAACAAAGTCTCCAAGGTCGCAAAGCAAAATCATGCATTGATTGATTTAATCGTTTTATCTCTTGCTATCCTTTCTTTGTTTTTTTCCTCTCCCCGTGTGAAAGCAGAAATAGGGCTAAGTAGGACTTTGTACTTTCAAAGCCCATAGTTGTTTTAAATGCCATGGGTTGAAATAGGTGTTTTTCCATGCAAACCATGTTTTTCTTTTGATAAATAAAGGTATTTTGCACTTTCATGTGCTTTGAATTTCAGATATTGAGATAACAAATCTTTCAATTGATCAAAACCAAGCTGATTTTTACCACAAGAAAATGAAATAATTTTATGTAACAATTTCGTCAATCGTTTACTAGAAAACTTTATTAAGTATTAGGATTTGATACATAATCATAATCTTCGTCAAAAAAAAATCAAATACAAGCTTACAAACAAACATCAAAAAATGAATACAACACGACTAGTCATGTGATCCTGCAATCCAAAGAAATATGAGGCAGTCCTGGAAAATGAATGTTATAGTGTCGATACAGGATATTTTGAAGTGAGACAACGAGATAGAATGAGTCATGTCACATCCAATTTTTTATTTAAATCAAAAGGTTATAGACTTAATCTCTGTAAATCTTTAATGTCAATGAATAGAAACTGAACTATCGTTCTCATAAATATCGAATTTAATAAAATAATCAGCAAAAACGTTAACTTCAAGAAAGATTTGCACAAAAATAATATCTCTGATTAAAGACATAAATATTTAACATTTTTTTGGTAATTGGGTAACGTTGTGTGGACGTGTTTCATATTCCTTGAGGTTTGCTAATTATTTTGTCCAAAGTGTCAAAGACAAAGAGTATCAACTTTCCATTTTGCTCAACACTAAGTAACATGGAGCGCACAGATTGCTACATTACTAATTAAAAGACAAAAGGAGGGTTTAGTCCATAAAATATAAGAGAAAGCAAGTACACCAGGAATTAAATTTCTCATGTTATTCCAAGTTCCTAAACCATATAATAAAATATACATAACATGTGGTTGTGTTTAATTATTTTACAAATCTACATACCAAAAGTAAATAAATATAATAATTTACAAAAGTCTCACGTTCTGAGTTTGGGCTGCTGAATTATGACAGGTTCAATGACATTTATTGTATAGTTTAGTATACGAATTTTCAAAGACTTGTACGTGTTTTGGTAAGTTCAAAAAGTGTTCCCTTCGGTCTTCTCTTTAACTCAGGTCTCATTTACGTGTAAATTTTGATTCCGAGTCAAAATTCAAAAGGGTGAGAGTATATAAAGCCTTAATACGAGATTAATTGGTCAATTCATAAGAATGGGAAGTATACAAGTTTCTTCTCATTCTGTCGTCGATAAATATGACTTTAATAATGTAATTCTTTGAATTAACAATCATTTCACTATTTCATAAAAGATAAAACATATTTAAAATTATATCGAGGGTTATAAGTATTGAACTTTAGATATATTAATTCGTGTATATATTTAAAGAGATAAATTCTATTACAAATGAATTAATAAAAGTAGAAGTTTTCCTTACAAAAGAATGGAAGAAAATTCCAGTTTCTAATTAGAAATAAATATATATGCATTCCTGCTTGAACCTAAAGGCTGTTCAATCATCAAATAGGCCCCAAAAGCCTTTACTTTAAAGGCTGGCGTTGTGCTTTGCCAAAGAAGAAAAGAAAAAGGGTGTAATACATTTCCTGCCTGCCAAGCATTGATTACCTAAGAGCTATCTGATGGGGATTAAAATCAAAACACATATATACTACATGAATTTCTTTATTTTAAACGAAAATTTAAAGAGAAAAAAAGAAGAAGAAAAAGAAAGAATCCCATTTAACAAACAAACCCCTTACAATCATTAATATTTTCATATTTGAGAGAAAGTTCCAATCAATATGAAATGAAATAAAATATGGGCAATAAATGCCAAATTGAACTTAATTTTATATTTGTCAATTTTGTGCTACAATTTCCAATGATGGCTTGGTCAAATATATAGCTACAATTCTTAAAATATCGACATTACATTAATAAATAAGTACGTATCAATCAATACGTAATATCGATTACATACATACAAAACACTTAAATTGAAAGATGAAAACAAAAATCAATATTCTAAAAATTAACGCAGCCAATCAACATCAAACATCTCACTTTTGATCAAACCCATTTTGGATTGAGAATCAGCATAGCAAAATCTAGTGTTTATTGCATAAAAGTGAGAGTAATGGGTTTTACGGTTAAGAAATCACTCGAAAGTGGATAAGGACAATATGAATATGGTTGAATTAAATCTATTCATTTGATTGGAATATTATAGTATGGACCTTTGTCTCCATTATTGGATGAATAAACTATGCAAAGTATGAACAAATTAATTAAAAAATATTAACATTGAAGCACTTCGAAAACGTGGTGGAAATGTTCTCAAAATACTCAACTGGCGAGAAACTTCGTAGCATTGCCTGAAGAAGCAAGGAGGAAAACCTGGAATTAATAGTTTAATATCAAAGCCTCAAGGTATATATATATGTGTAGGCAGGAAGCCAATTACGAAGCCATTCAATTCAAATCCAATCGTTGTAGTGTACTAAAAGCTTGATTCCTTTTCTGGGTCTATCTTAAGAACAAGAAGAAAACAAAAATATGTACGGTGGAAGTACCTCGGGGTTTGATCTCAATCTCCTGGAGTCGATTCGTCAGTATCTTTTGGAAGATGAACTTCCGTTTGATGATCAGATTGATGGTTCGAAAACTGATGCGATTAATGTTGATCAGTGGGTAACCTTTGATCAGTTATTCGATGCGGCGGAGACGGCCGCTGTTGGTGTCTCGGTTCCCAGCTGCGAAGTGATCACTTCCGAGGTGGGTACTGCGACTGCGACGACCGCGACTGCCCCTAAACTGCAAGCGCCGCTGAAGAAGGTGCATTATAGGGGTGTGAGGAGAAGGCCGTGGGGGACGTACGCCGCGGAGATAAGGGATCCGAAAAAGAACGGTGCGAGGATCTGGCTCGGGACTTACGAGAGGCCCGAGGATGCGGCGCTAGCTTATGACAGAGCGGCTTTCAAAATGCGTGGCGCAAAGGCCAAGCTGAATTTCCCTCACCTCATTGGCTCCGATCAGGTGGAGCCGGTTAGAGTGACCAATACCAAGCGGCGGTCTCCGGATCCATCTTCGCCTCAGTCATCGGCTCAGTCGGCTTCCTCTTCATCATATATATCCGATGACGGGACTCCCAAGTCGAAACGGAGGATGATCAGTGTGATTAACTCGGCGGTTAAAACTGAGTTAGGAAGCGAGTTTGAACTAGAATTGACGCCAACTGATTTTTGGCAGACCGTTTTCTGTTAACGGAAGTGTCAAGTGTACATGATCATTTAGTTTTTAGTAATTTTATTTAAATTTTTGGCAGAAAAATGAGTAATTCTCTTTATACTTTCCTTTTTAATACCCAAAATTTCTTAATTTCCAAAACCAATATTACTTAAATTAAAAAAAAACTGCACAACGTACGCTTACTAAACTCGATATTAGATTTACAAAAAGAAAATTAATCCAAAGTTCATTATTAACTTATTAATAATTTAGACATAAGATCTTTAAATTTTTTTTATTAAGATATATATTATGGACAGCTTATTAGAATTCAATGTTTTTAATTTTTGGATGAAAACTAAAATTCGTTGTTAAGTATAAATGAAATGCGATTTGTTTTTATGGATAAATTCTACCAAAACAATATTTACGAAGAATAATTGTGCAAATTATGCGATTTATTTTTTATTTAAATTTTAGTATATATATATATATAGGGTTATGTAGTCTTGGCTCTATAATCGATATTAGATTTAAATTTTGGTTCATTTGGTGTACTTGACCTTTCCGTTATTTGCTTGCAGTTTCATTCAAGGACATTCAAATTACACCCAAAGTGAAACCTAACACAGAGTTTCTACTCAAGGAATTATACTTTATCTACACTCTTTCCTTCATATATATATATATATTTATGAATTTATATTTTTAATTTAAACTATATGTCTATTAAATAAAAAAAATTATATATAAATTTAAAATTAATTTTATCTTTTACAGATATGAAATGTATGATATTCTATTTTATCTAATTATGTAATATTTTTGTTTTATTTGATCTAACTCGACTTGGATGGATTCATTATTTTTATTGTTATTATAAAGCTGCCAAGGAGTTTTGTCCTCGTGACGTTGATAGCATCCATCATCTCATATTCCAACCATCATTTAAAAAATAATTAAACTATTATAAATATATAAAGGACATAAGGGAATATATATTAATTCAGAAAATGGCACGTGAAAAACCAATTGTCAGCACATGGTGGCGAAGGAAACTTCATGGAAATGGTTATAATCGTTCTTCTGAGATCGATGGTGGGCTGGAGGAACAACCCTTTGGCTGTAACTTTACAGTACTATATAAACTCGAACGCCTTTGATATGTTTTGAAGAAATATTTATGTGGGAGATAATCATTCTGTCGAAGAAAATTAATTCCATGGAGTCAGATTTAGCTCTTTTAGAGTCAATAAGGCAGCACCTGCTCGCCGATGATTTCGAAGCTTCGATGGGCTTGACGGGGTCGTTTCAGGGAAGTACTCCGGCGTACCTCCCGGGTGCGAGCTTCACCAGTCTACTCTTGGGCGAAAACTGGAGTGCCACGGCCACCCCATCATCAGAACCGCTTGGTTTAACGAATGCGGTTAAAGCGGAGCCAGCTGGGGATGTGTTGATGGAGAAGGCAACGGTTCATGTGGCGGGGCCTGAACCGTACGCACCTCCTAAGATGGAGCATTACAGAGGGGTGAGAAGGCGGCCGTGGGGGAAGTACGCGGCGGAGATTAGAGACCCTAAGAAGAATGGGAGCAGGGTGTGGCTAGGGACTTACGAGACGCCCGAGGACGCTGCGCTGGCTTACGACCAAGCCGCTTTCAAGATGCGTGGCTCGAAGGCTAAGCTAAACTTTCCTCACTTAATCGGCTACGGTAACTTGAAGTTGGTGGAGCCAATCAGAGCCAGCCCCAAGCGCCGCTCTCCGGAGCAGCCTTCGACGACTTCGTTGAGCAATGACACTCCAAAGCGGAGAAGATGAAAATTAGAACTAATTAATTAATGACATTTTTTATTTTTTCCAATTTTAAAAAAACCGGTGTTAATGTTGTATATAATTGGAAAATTAATGTTTTAATTTTCCCTTTTTGTACATGAACACGATGTAGCTAGTTGATATGGTTTCCACTTCATTGCGTGGAAAAGCAAGAAAGCTGAGTACATGTTTGAAGAAAAATAAATTCATTAAAGAAAATTATGGTTAAGATTTTGGTTGTAATTTCGAAATAAATAAAGTTCTACCTTTGTCCTGGTTGCTTAACCAAAACCATTGAATTTTCTTTTTTTACTTCTTTTTTCATTGTTTTAAGTTGCTTAAACTTTCAATTAAATACATAATTTGAAGATTCTGTGGCATGAACATATATTAATACATATATTTTTTAAATCAATCTTGTTAATTAGAGTAAGTAGGAACGATGACGGATAAGGTAATCATTATTTTTGAAGTACCTATATTTGAATTCTATTATTTGTCAAAATATTTAAATTTTATAAATATTCATTCAACAAATATTTAAAAGTTATTATCTAAATTAAATAAATATTATCCATTAAATACCTGATTGTCAAGAGTAAGCATTCAATCGATTGGAACGATTAATTTGCATTTTACTAGTTAAAATATTTTTTTAGCTAATTAGCTTGCATTATTTAACTTTTATCACGAGTTCGCTCAATAATTAACTTTTGAAAAGAAAGATATAAGGCTCAAATAATTCCTAAATTATTCAAAAAATATTCAAATAAATTTTTTTATTACATTTAATCAAATTTTATATTTTTATTTTAAATCAAAGAAGTTTTTATAATTAATAATTAATTAATTATCATTAGTAAAAATTTCATTTATCATTTTACATCCACATGATACTGATATGATATTAATGTGAAAGATGAAATATGTCACATGATCATATTATCGTATTAAATTAATGTTATAAAATCATTAATTATAATATGTTAGCATATCATATTATAATCAATTTTGATATTTTAACATATTATATTAATATCAAGCGACATAGAATAACAAATGATATTTTAATTAAATTAATTATTAATTATAAAAATTTATTTAATTTAAAATAAAAAGTATAAAAATTTATTTGATTTATAATAAAAGTATGAAAATTTGATTGAATGTAATAAAAATATTAAGGGTTTATTTAAATTTTTTAAAATAATTTAAAAGTTTTTTTTGTCTATCATGCCAAAAGAAAAGAAAAACTCACCATGTAGCCGCCGGTAGATTCATGAATCTATGAACAGTTTCAATGGTTTCTTCAGCCACCACAGTTGAAGGGCAAGTAGGGAGTTGAAGGAAGAAAGAAGGAGATAAAAATGAGAAAAAAAAAATCCCACGAATTCCACGTGTTTAAAAACAAGTGGCAGGAAAAAAAAATCGAGAGCTCGGTCGGAATCAGAGAAAAAATGTGACATGTTTCAGAGCAGATACCTCTCGGTTTCCCCTATGGGTCGTTTCTCATTGGGCCCTGATACTGCCGCAGCTTGAAGTCGTCGCTAAATGGGCTTCTGTTACTGGATTTTTGCGTCTGGCCGGACTTCTTCTTCTCCGATTTTCGTTGCAAGGGCCGGTGGATACGACAATGGCTCTTCTTCTTAGGTTGTCGAGCAAGCAACACTAAATACTTTGACACGGGGAAAAAGATCCAATACTAGCATTTCTGTATGGAGATACAAAATAATACTAAATAAATAGCTGACCGGTTAACAAAAACAAGGATATTCCGTAATAGGGAATTTTAGGTCACGTCAGACCACATTTCTCTTTGAAATATCGGTGCCTTTGGGAAGAAAGAAAAAATGCTGTGGAGCAAACAGTGTTACATTGAAGATTAGGTCAAACAAGATTTGCTCAAGACACACCTACAACTTTTCCAAATTGATGGAACCAATATTAACCACAAGACAGAACGTAACAGCTTGTAAATTATAAGCAAGGTAAATTCTTCACGAGGCAGCACTAGGGGTGACATCAGAAAGTACAATTAAGTTTTGAATTTGTAAATCTTGAGTAACCAACTGCTTAAAATTTTTTTAGCCGTACCACCAGATCCGGTCTCGTTCTTCCCAACTCGATAGGAATAACAATGGGTTCAAGACAAGCTAACAATTCTCCAATTCTAAAGCAACAATGACAAATTCACTACCAAGAGCAGTATCACTGTCCCAAAAGCAGAATCATCTGTTGCTACAATGCCATGAACAAAAATCTGGCTGGTCACCTAAACACCCATCCAATGAGTTGCACGCTCTTAGCTTCAGGATATTGGATGCCGTCTCCTGCATTTCTCCACACCATTAGTCATCAGTAAAATGTAGTCATAAGTAGGATAACTTTAGAAGACATAATAACCAAATATTTATATCATTAAAAGTAGTATAAATTAAGAATGAAAATCAGGCTGTGGATAAATAGGAGAAAGGAAAGCCAAGTAGTATAAATTATATTCAAGGATGTAGAACAAAAGTGAATAAATTATATAAAAAGATCACCTCTTGGGTCGGCTTCGGTCTTCCTCATAGTCCATCACTCCACCAGGTTCAGAGTAGATCTCCTCGAGCCCTCGGAAGTCAACGTCGGCCTGCTTACAGTGTGTAACTTCTGCCACAACGTAAGTAAGCCACATCGACCAACATATCTTGGTATTGAATGAGTGAAGTCATGGCATGCTAATTCTAGATCCAGTTAAACTCACTCATTTGCATGTTAACTAGGAAATTGCAGCCTTAAGCTCCAAACTTTTCTGTATATGCATTTTTTCAACAATTAAAGGACTCTCTTTCCCACCATCACCCCCCCCAATAAAACAATTTTCAATTTTCAAAAACAATTTATTTATGTCTACAACTACATGGATGTTAGAATCAAAATGTTTTACTCCCTTGAATGCTTATGTAGAATTGGCTTAAAAATTAAAAACACACAACAATAAGGCTAATGAAAACACTTGCAACTGCATTCTGCTTTGCATGCTTTTAATGGTCCAATACTGAATTATTGCAAAAGGACAATCACTTCTAATAGGTAAACTGGATTCAACTGACCTTGAGTGTGATGGACTTCTTTACTTCTTCCACCCTATCTTCAACCTCCTTACGATGTTTCTTGTCCAACTCGCTCATAGTATCAGCCCATTTTATCTTCTCTTGAATTGAGATAAGTAAGTTGTCTGATGTATCCAACCTAGGTTCTCATCGATAGAAAGATGTTAGATATATATGAGCTGATATTGATTAAATTTAGCTGTGTTTCTATCAAGTCCACTTAAACTTGCCAGCTCAAATGAACAAAGACAAAACCTAATATGAAATCAGATGCTAGCAACTATGACTGCAGCAAGGGTAAAGGACTTAATCACATGCTCTATTAGAACCAGAGATGTTACCAGTTTGACAGTGTTTGTATCATACTCCCAAGTTGTCCTGGCCTCAAATCCCTCCCAGCAGCAAATTGGACCTTCAGATATTAGAAGCTTTGATAAGCCAAGAAAAAGAAAAAGAAATGAAAAGAAAAAAAAAAAACTTGAAAGGTAGGTACAGCAAACACATACCTCAAAACATCTTCGCAGCTGATCCAGCTTTCCTCTAACTATACCCTGACAAAAAGGTTGAAAAAGATGAACAATCAGCACACTTTCAGGTTATCTATGGTACAATTTGATTTCCTTAGAAGTCAACCAACCCCTCCCTCTTGGAAAGACATCTGGTTGGGAAGGTAGGTGTTTAGGAAAAAATTTGAATTTGCAAGAAACACAGTTAAGAAAAAGAGAGAACACTTAGAATTTGCAACAATCACTTATCATACAAACAACAGTATTAGGTCTGCTTTCTTTCTTGTGCTTTTTTCTTTTTTATTTTTGAGAAATGGCTGGGCTACACCTACACTATAGGAGAATAGTCCTCACCCCCAATCCCTGGGGAAAAGAGAGTTCGATCTCAGATCTTGGGAGCAACCACAAAGGACAGTTCAGATAGTGTAGCTACATTTTCGAAAAGCAAACCTTATGAATTGTGATATATAATCAACAGGATGCTTCTTTGACATGCCTTGTGGTGAATGCAGATCCACTTTAAAGTTCAACCCCCAGCCCCTACCCCCACTAAAATCAGGTGTAATGCACAAAGAGCAAGATGATTCTTTCACATGTCATTTGTTGAATGGAAAACATCCTTTAAAAACACAAGTCAAAACATCACATCCACAGGGCCTTTCAAGGCTGTTCCAGTAGCTAAAGCATGCTGCCGACAGCGTAAATCTTGGATTAAGAAGGAATAGAGAGAACCATGCTCAGAGACTACCTACCGCATACATGCATTCATTGATAAGAAAATCTTCGAGCTCGCGGACATTTGTGACATCTAACTCCAGCATTAGTTGATCATATGGTAGTACCTGGAGAAGAATGTCAAAACTATTAACAACTAACATGAAATACCGATAGAATAATCATCAGACAAAGATTCCCGCAAATTATAAATATATCCTTTTCATTAGGAAGATGGAATAAAAGAATTTTAAAAAAAAGGTTAAAATCTTTTCAAGGTATTCTAAAAAATTTATTCCATCAAGTTCTGAAGTCACTTGCCTTGATGATAGAGATCTAAAAGTGGCAAGTTTGTAGAATACCAAATGCACCATAACCACAACAATGGAACTATACTAGAAAATGGCATATTTAGATGTGCAAATGCCCCATAACTCAAAGAGAATACCTTGTTTGTCTCGGCAAGTGTAAGGACAGTAAGTTGCTTTAGCTTGAGGACTTGATCAGGGACCAGTTGAGGAAGACGACCACTATTACCTAATTAAATAGTTTAACAGACAAAATTCATAGCTTTATAATGAGCAGAAGCAAAATAAGAACAATCAAGACAGAGATATATGTCAAGTAGTTAAGTAAGTAAAGGGCATTCTGCTGCCTACTGTGCCAGAAAATTAAACATCACTGACAAACACTGTCAAAAAGAAGATAATAGAAGTGAGGAAGAGATACAATAATGGGAAAAATGCCAAATCATTAAGCTGGAAAATTAATATTACAAAAGGAAGAAAGAATGATATGTAATGCCCTTTCAATTACTAGTCCTTGAAATTTGCATTTAAATAATTAAATCACTGCAATTGCGATATCTTTTTCACAAGATTACCCTAATAATAGTTTACAGATATGGATCAGATATGGACCACTTTCATTATTAATAGCTCTATGTTACCATAATAGTAGAAGTTGCCACTTTAGCCACAAAAATCAAAATACTTAACATTACAAGAGACAAAACTACTATCCCTTAATGACAAATTTTCAGACTTAAAGTTAACCAACAAGGCAAAGAACACATTTCAGACTTTTATTCAATATCTAAGTCTAACTTACATGAGACATTTACAACTAATAATCTTCAAATCTTCTCAAATAGAAAACTCATGGTGCGGGAAGGAAAAATGTGCACTCAACGCATTACAAACTTCTTAAAGCCGAACAATAAAACACAGGTTTCGCTGCTTACCCTTGTAGTCACTCCATGTGCCATGTGCAAACAACCGAAGCACATCAAGGTACACTGAGTTTTCAGTTCCTTCAAGCTGCAAAGGTTCATTAATTTCACATTAATTATAGGTAAACTAATGCTTAAAAAATATGCTTATCAAGAAAACCAACACACCATAAAATAGAGAACAGTAAAAAAAAAAAAAAAAACTACAATCTAATACCATAGTAACCATTTAATTGCTCAGAAATTGTAATTCACATTCATGAGTTTTATATATTTATCTTTCCCCCAAAAACTTCTGGTCAATTTAAGCCAAATTTGAACTTCTCTGACTAATGATTAACAAATGCATGTGAAACTAGTCAAACAATTTGCCAGAAAAAATTTTTAAGTTAAACAAAATATCCGACAAGAGTCAAACCTAATTCCATAGATGGCATTCCTACCCGATGCATAAAGAACGAGCAAACAGCTAAAAGTACGCTATGTAATTTACAAAATTGGAGACAAATATATCAATTAATAAACCCAAACACGTTAATGAAACTTTGATTTCCTTATTTTTCACTCAAATTTCTCATCAACCAAACAGTGTGCTTCTACGCCCACACAATCTCTTCACAGTCAATAAACGATGCACAGCAAACAATAAATAAATTAATTGATTACAGCTTTGATAAGAATGGAACAGGTTCGAACCTCGGCGACACAGGGCACGGCAAGAATCTCAGAGAAGGCGAAGAGGGAAGGATGCGACGTCGCTTCGAGGATTACGGAGCCAAGAGCCGAGCCCTTCTGAGCCGCTTGCTTCACGAAGTGATCGATCAAGTCTGCTTGTTTTTGCTCGATATCCATCTTCCAAATAGAATAATTTACAGATAGAAAAGCATTCAGAGAACCGGAAAAAAAATATAAAACCTAGGGTTTGGCGCTGGCGACGGTGGATTTCTCGACGGAGAATTTTTTAGCGTTTAAATAAAGTTACGATACGATCGTCTTTCCTGAGAGTGAGAGAATTCGAGACATCAAAGCTGCCCCGCTATAACTTCCTTCTGGTTTTGCCTCTCTTTGGGGGAAGGGTTTATATGATTTTGCAAAATTATTTATATAAATTACATCAAAATTATATAATCATAGTATATTTAATTTAATTAATTATATTTATTATATTAAAGTTGATGATAATGGTAGAAAAGTATTTAAATAATAATTTATTTTTTTATGAAAATGTAAAATTGCCGATGATTTCTGTATTGGCAACTTTGTGCTACAATGTCACAGGTGTCTCGAGGCTTGACATAATGTTATGGTGATGGAAACCATTTTTTTTTGGGGAAATTATTTTATTAAATTCATCAAAAAAATTATAAATTCATTGTGTTGGATGTCTTTAGTTATAGAAATGTAAATCTTAAAAACCTGTGAATCATGAAACTCGATTGGGACTTTGTTCTAATTTAACTCTTTAAACTGATTAATTTTTAATTAATTAGTTAATTGATTAATCTCTTTCTTTATATGTTACTAAATAATTGAAATTACTACTTTAGGGAATAAATATTTTTCCTTTCAATATTCCTTCATGTTTTCTCATCCTTTGTGTGTGCAAATTGAGAATTAAAATATTCATTTATTCTTTAACTGCTTGCCTCTTTTTATTTTTATGAAAATTAAGATAAAAAATTTGATTATGATGTATTTTAGATTAAGATTTAAATCTTCTGTAAGATTGATGTTTACTGCTTTTTAATATGAAAAATAAAAAAATTATAACATAAAATTGTAATATAAAACAAGTATGAGCATTAAGTGTTTAAAAATGAAAGATATAGGATGAAATTTGGACAAAAGAATAGATTAATTAATTATTAAAATCCCTTTGTTATAAAATACATTATCATTTTAACGTTATTTTTTAATAAAAAATTGATTACCTCTTAATTTTTTTATAATTTTTATTGACATATAAAATCTTACTTAAATGATATTCTCTTGGTTCTTATATGTTTGTCTTTTATTTATTTTTAAGAAAATTAAGACAAAAGTTTTGACTTTGATTTATTTTATATTAAAATTTAAGTTTTATTATAATATAGATTTTTAATGCTTTTTAACATGAAAAATTAAAAAGATTATGACAAATACTATAAAAGAGATATAAATATTAATATCTAAAAAAATCATTTAAGATATAATAAAATAAAATAGATAAAGAAAAAATAGACAAAAGGATTAGTAACAAGTGACGATTTAACTACAACTTTCTAATTGAAATATTGTTCTTAAATTGTAAAAATCGAAATAGGTTTATAATTTAAATGAAATACTAATTATGTGGTTAAGGATTAGATGAATTTTATACCAAAATTTCATTGTTCACGAGATATAAACTATTGAACATAATACTTTCACTTTTTTAAATTTTAAAAGAAGTTTTAAACAAAATCATTAATTTTTGAAATTAACATTATATCTTAAAAGTATAAACATAGTTAATAAAAAACATAAAAGAATTAAAATATTTTTTATTAATTTAAAAAATTATTATTATATAAATTAAAAAAAAATTAAGGAGCATTGATAAGTGCTCGCAGCTCCTCAAGGGAAGAGACGAGCGATCGGTGTTAACTTTTTTTTATTAATAAAAATTATATAATAATAATTTTTAAAATTAATATAAAATAAAATTATATTTTTAATATTACATATCATTAAATTAATGTGAACTTTAATAATTGATTAACGTTTAAATTTATATATTTAATAAAAAATATTTTTGAAATAAAATATTTATTTTAAAAATTAATAAACTTATTTAAAATTTTAATTAAAAGTTAAAAGAATGGGATATTTTACTTTAAATTATTTGTAGGAAGTAAATTGGTAATTAAAAATGCAGCTGAATTTCGAAAATGGTTATAAAAATTACTACCCAAAATTACATTTACAGTTGGATAAATAATTTTTTTCCCTCCTTAAACAGAAATGGTAACAGATATTTGGCGCGTCGGATTGCGAGCCAAAAAATTCACTGGGAAATTAAAATTTAGGCGAATCATAATCCATATTCAGTTAATTACGATTTTTATCTCTCTTCCAAGAGAAAAAGAAATATCTGTCTTCATCGCTCAAGGAAAAAGAGCAATCGAAGCATGGCGAATTCGGCGGCTGATTCGCGGAGCAACAGGACGGCGGTTCAAGCCACCAACGACGACGCTTCAGCCAGTAAACTGTGCGTGCCTCTTCCTTATTTTTTACGATGTTATTTGGCACTTTCGGAAACGTTGAATTTCATTTATCACTGCGGGAATTAAAGAAAAACAGAAAAAATAGGTTTGGAAACAACTTGTAATTGTGTTCGAATGATCTGAACATTTTATTGTGGAGTTTGGATACAAGGTTTCGACGCGAAGGAGACGAATCTGATGAGCAATTAATTTAGGAGCTTGTTCTTTCTCTGTTTTGTATACATTAGAAGAATTTATGTTTGCTTAAACATTTCTCAAATTTCATTTATCACTGCAGGAATTAAAGAAAACAGAAAACGTAGGTTTAGAACTTGTTATTGTGTTCGAATGATCTGAACATTTTATTGTGGAGTTTGGATACAAGGTTTCGACGTGAAGGAGACGAATCTGATGAACAATTAATTTAGGGGCTTTCTCTTTCTCTGTTTTGGATACATTAGAACAATTTGTGTTTGCTTAAACATTTCTCAATTTTCATTTATCACTGCAGAAATTAAAGAAAACAGAAAACGTAGGTTTAGAACTTGTAATTGTGTTCGAATGATCTGACCATTTTATTGTGGAGTCTGGATACAAGGTTTCGACTTGAAGGAGACTAATCTGATGAACAATTAATTTAGGAGCTTGTTCTTTCTCTGTTTTGGATACATTAGAAGAATTTATGTTTGCTTAAACATTTCTCAATTTTCATATATCAGTGCAGAAATTAAAGAAAACAGAAAAAGTAGGTTTGGAACTTGTAATTTTGTTCGAATGATCTGAACACTTTATTATGGAGTTTGGATACAAGGTCCTGACGTGAAGGAGACGAATCTGATGAACAATTAATTTAGGAGCTTGTTCTTTCTCTGTTTTGGATACCTTAGAAGAATTTATATATGCTTAAACATTTCGTAATTTTCAGAAATGACATTTATCTCTATTATTATGCTAATGGTAAAAAATTCTGTTTCTTTAAAGGTCATGTGTTAAAAAGGGATACATGAAAGATGACTACATCCATTTGTTTGTTAGAAGACCTGTGAGGAGATCTCCTATAATTAACCGTGGTAAGAATTTGGTTTGTTTGAGGATTTAGCATTTTGATTTGTTGCTTTGTGGTTTTAGTAATGAGTTTAATCTTATTAATCATTCTTTCTTTGTTGGGGTGTATATTTGAGGTTATTTTGCTCGTTGGGCTGCTCTGAGGAAGCTTCTCTATCAGTTTCTTGATTGTGAAGGATGTAATGGTGAAAAGGGTCATACGAAGAAGCAGATACTATCACTTGGTGCTGGGTTTGATACGACATATTTTCAGTTGCAGGTGCCTGAGTTTTCTTGTGAGTTGGGATAAGCTCATATCACATGACAAACTTAAGAATGTTTATCTTCATTGTTTGATTCATGTAAAACACATGAAACTTAACTTGTTCCACTGTTGTATTTTTGCTAGTATGAATTATTTGCATTGTTTTTTTTTTTTTTGTGTGTTTGGTAAATATCTGGAGAAAATGCATGTTCCCTATGTGTATGTTTACTGTGGATATTTTTGGAAATTTTGATTTACCTTATAGAAGCCTGAATATTGACAAGTTTAATTGGCCTTCTATTTTCTTTTTCCTGGACAGGATGAGGGAAAAGCTGCATATCTATATGTGGAACTGGATTTTAAAGAGGTGCAATTTTGAAACATTGTTGAGCTTTTCCATGAGTTAAAACTTAGCTTAATTTCTCTGTATTGAGGATGCATTGAGTCCTGAGCTGGTTAAGACTTTTCTATTAAAGTAGCTTATATTAACCTTGTTCATCGATCATGTATTCTCCGTTGTATTTTTAGTGAGCAGTTGATTTACTTAACTGAGTCAAATGACAGAAATTTCATATGCTATACCATGCAGTTGAGTGAAATATGATTGCAATGGATTTGTACTCTATCCTGCTTCAAAAGGTGATTTATTTTCCTGTAGGTAACTAGTAAAAAGGCTTCCCTTATTGAATCCTGCAGTCAGTTGAGGGACAAAGTGGGTGCAACGGCATCAATCTCACTAGGTAAGTGGCCCTGGTTATTGCTACCTGGAATTGCTGCTGGTGTTAGTTTCATAATGGCTGTCTTTTCTTTTTGTCTCAAACTTGTCATCTTCCTTTTCTGGTATGTGTGGATGGGGCTATTAGCAAGAGTATGGTTACGCCATGATACATAAACTTTAACGCATTCAAGTTGCCATGCAAAACATAATGCAGAAAAGTTCATTTGCAACCACTGTTCTATAAGTAACTCATATTTGGTGTGAGTTTGTTTTCTTTTGTCAAATATGTCTAAAGTTTTTCTTGGTTTAGACTTATATGATTTTATAGGCTTTGGTGGCATATTTTTGTTTATTATAGTGCATCATATATATAACAGATGTTTTATTGAAGGAATCATAGTGCTAGCTTCTTGTACTTTATGTATTCTGCATCTGCCCTTTTGTAAGAACTCCTGTGATTGCATGCATGAAATTCTGGTGCATTTAAGCACATGTTTCTTTTGAGGAATGATAGAGAGTTTGTATCTTTGCAGAGAATGGAGAAGTGCTTAGTGATCAGTACAAGCTACTTCCAGTTGATTTGCGTGACATACAGAAATTAGATGATGTCATATCTCTGGCAAATATGGACCCTGGGTGTGTTCATGAATCAATTCCTATTCTTTTGTATTTGTTAGCATTTTACTCATCCTTTTCGAAGTTCTAAGTAATTAATAATGCTTTCTTTTTATTTCATTTTGCATGTTTTACAAATGTAATTATGATGGTTTCCAGTAATTTGTGTTGTTTTCCTTGTTTGGGTGTTAAATTTGTATGTTATTTTAGCTTTTTTCAGGAATTCTTTCTTTTCTGCCTTTTGGGTGGAAACTTTTTATTCTTTCCTTGGTTAGGGACCTTAGGGTCGTCTGATGTTGGTATCAGTCTGCCAACATTTGTAATTGCAGAATGCGTTTTAATATACCTGGATCCAGATTCAAGCCGTTCTATTGTTGGTTGGGCATCGAAAACATTTTCAACAGCAATATTTTTCTTATATGAGCAGGTTCTGTACTTTTCTGAAATTCCAGCATCTTTAATTCCTTTCTTTATGTTGGTTGTGGTTTCCTGCAACTGTTCCTTGAATGCCTTCCATGTCTGGCTTGGTTTAAGACAAAATGATAAATTCACAGTTAATGGTGCTTGTCAACAGATTCATCCAGATGATGCTTTTGGGCAGCAAATGATAAGAAATTTGGAGGTGAAAACATCTTACTTTCTCAATGTCATTTGATTTTGAGGAGGCTTAATTCTGTGAGTGATTTAGTACTTTCTCATTCAGTTGTACATATGGATTTCTTTTGAACCTAGAGACGTTTTGCCTTGTTTTGCATTTTGTTGATGTTAGGTGGAAAGATGTTTACATAGGTAGGGAATAGGGATGGGAGAATCCCTTTATAGAACACCTTTCTTTTCCCCTTTCTTTCTTTTTGGTTGAATTGAGAATTTTTCAGCATAGGAATTAAGAGCTTTTTGTCTAAAAGATTGTTTATTTTGTCATTGCTTAAGCACTGTTTATGCTAGACATGGGGCCTTGAATGCCTTGATGTTGACTTATAGAAACTTACACTAAATTGATAACTCTTTGTCAATTTTTTGTTTCAGAGTCGAGGCTGTGCACTTTTGGGTATTTATGCTACACCAACTTTGCTTGCAAAGGAAAAACTATTTCTTGATCAGGGTTGGCAGGTATATGAGTATATTTTTAATTTTTAATTTCACTTAACATTATCCCATATACATCTTTTTATTGTATATTTCCTTAATTTCAATTGGAAACAGTGTGGGCTGATGATAGGGGATTTAGGTGAAGGAAGACTGTATACATCTGCCAGTTTATTTATTTATTTTATGATATGCATTTTCTGGGTGCCTGTAGAGCACCATTTCTTTGATGGTAAATATAGGAATGCCTGATATAAAGGCCAAGTTCTGGCTAGATAAAGATAAAAGTCTAGCTGACTGTTTGTCCTTCTCCTTCCCTCCTTGCTTCCTCAATACTGCCAGAATGAACTTTAATGTGTAGAAATGGGAGCATTATATAACATTAGTAATATTTGTATGTTCTTTCTTCCTTTTGTTCTGAGCTGGATTCTCTCTAGCATTTTTTCCTTTTGAATTTTATTATTTCAATAATATTTTATGTTGTTTTCTTCAATATCTTGTGTGTGCTTTGTGTTTGAGGTTTCAGAAAGCTGTTGCCTGGGACATGCTGAGAGTTTATAGTGAATTTGTTGATGCCCGTGAAAGACACAGGTATGTGCTGCTTTAATGCTATAAAGTATTATTTTTTCATATATGTCATGACAGACAAAGCCAATTTGGCAGCACAGGTGTCTTCTTGCCTGTGGAGTAACTCATTAGTGGTTTTGAATTAGATTTCATTCTGATCACTTGTTTATTATCATCATGTCAGCTAAGTTTGATTTGTACTATCATGGATTCAAATATTAGAATTGCAATATCATGTGCGGTCCTTTATTGATTAGATAAGTTGTATCTGTGGATTTGTTTGCTGTGCATAACTCCTGGGGTTTTAGTCACCACTTTTTTTCAACATATATCCAACTGCCAAGGCCATGACCTGGTTAATGAGCTTGGCGACTTTGTATGCTGCTATGGGCCATGAAATTGATGATGAAAACAAAAGCAGCAGCTAAGTGTAGCTTTAAAGTGGATCTGTAATTTTCTGTTGAGGGGAAAGATGTTCTTTCAAACAGATTAGAACTACTTTTAGAAGTAGAAAGTTCAAATCTGAATCAGATAATGAATTCCTGTGTCTTTTTGTGTGTGCCATTGCTGCTCTGCAAATGTTGCTTTACTGAAAAGAAGAATCTTTGGTTCCTTTCTTTTAGCAGCCTTTCTTTTAAGGTTTTTGAGAAGATGTAAAGAGAAATTCCTTTCAATTTCTTGGTTCACATCTTTATCTCCTTTTTTTATACTTTCCATTGGGAAGCTTCAAGCTTGTCATTTTATCATTTCTGAAATATTCTTTGAGATGATTCTTATATGTGATATTCTGGTGATCAGAATTGAGCCACTGGAATTGTTCGATGAATTTGAAGAATGGCATATGATGCAGGTAAGTGAATCTTTCGCTGAAAGAGAAAGTTAACACTCTAGAAGTATCTGGAAAATAACATGATCTTTACTTAGTGGATACTGGCCTGACAATTGAACGTCTTAGTTCTTGCAACCCTGGCTGGCCTGCTTACATGGATAAGCGGTGGTTGCATAATCTATGCCTCTCATCTGTTGATCTAAAAATTCTGCGCAGTTTATTATTGTCATCATCACTGATATTGTTTCAAACTGCTGATTTTCAGGAGCACTATTGTGTTGCATATGCAATCAATGATGCCATGGTACGTCCATACATAAAAGCCAAATCCTAGTGGCATTTTTCTTTGTTTTGGCCCTATATTCCTTCATCATGTGAATTTCCTTAATTGCTGCAGAAGTTTGCTTTTCATGTAGCATTGTGAACTATATTTGTACGTATATTTCCTTTTGTAGCAGAGCAGAAATACCGCTTATTTAGTGCCACTAGATCACTAGAACATTTTATAGCATGCGAAGCCGATAATTGCATTCACTGAAGCTAATGGTTTAGCACCCCAAAAAAGAACCTCTTTAGTCCATAGCCTGGCTTTTTACAAAAATTGTCTTGGTTTGTGTCATAATCAAAAAGTATCATTAAGATCAAATTACGTCAATGATAGGACTGCATCTTTTTGTTTAATTTGTCTATCATTCCTTTATGATAATGACACAGATATTGTGATCAATTGGGGATAGATATTGTGGTTTCCTTTGACACTTTTTCATGGTTCAGGGGTGGTATGGGAAATTTGGGTTTCCTGATGACCAGCAGAATGTGCCGAACACCTCCCCAGCTGCATCCCCATTAGGCCACGAGGCTGCTCCACGTCATACTTCTCTCGCCAACTTCAGATAAATAATTAGTAGCAGAGAAGCACGTGTGACTGACACGTGCCTGTTAAACGAGTGGGGTTCTTGTCTGGTAAAAAAGGGCCTCTCCGCCAAGTTAGTCTTTAGCTCTAAAAAGTCTCCAAAAGGTTTTATGACTTGAGTGGCTGCGTCTGTGTGTAATTTGTTTTTGTTTGACTCGAGGAAAAACAGATCCTTTTCTTTCTTCTGCTAGCTGTTTGGCAAAAGAAAACGTGGTGGGACCCAAACAGCACCAAAAGTGTCTCATACGCCCTTGTTACTGTGGGTTCAGAATCATGTGGAGATACACATTCATTGGTTGGTTGCTTTTGCTTCTCAATTTTGTTTTCTCTTCAAATATCTCTCCTCTGTTTGCCCTTCCCCGTTTCCTGTTCTTTGGAATCTGCATGACCACAATGCCATTTTGGAGATGTTCATAGTTTGAACAAGCATCATAGTACTGTTCTAAGAAATGAAAACTTATTCTTATGCTGGTTACGTGTGGTTTAGGATTGGAGATTAGTTTTTTAGTTAGAAGTAGGGTCATAGTTCAAAGTTTACTGTGATTATAGAATTTAAGGAAGACACTGTTTTCACGCTTACTTTAGCTAGGGGGTATTTTCTATTTGTTTGATATGTTCAAATCACATTGTCGCATCAAATTAATTGTGTCGAGAAACTAGGTGATTTGAATTCTAATTGGAGTCTCCAGATTAATCACGTATCTAGCTCTTTGCCTTATAAAGCATATAGCATATACTAAAATGATAAATTTGGACCCACACTTAGAATCTGTGGCTAGAGGGATTTGGGAATTCTGGTATTCTAATCCAATACATGGCCACGAAGCCAAACGAGATTGAAAAAGTAAGAAAACCCAAAAACGAGAAAAGATTAGATAATCCAATCTAGAAAAATGTACTCCCCTTAAGGGTCCACATTGTTTACCTTTTGGGAAGAGAACAGTTCCTTCATCATCTTTGGATTGCCGCCTACCATTACTCTGTTCTTTTCGACTTTTTAGAATCTGTTTGTTTGGGGGGGGTTTCTTGGACGCTTGCAACACCCAAAGCTTGAGTAAAATAATACCAGTATTTATTTTTATATATGCATATATATATATATATTTGTTTGCAGCTTTAGTGATCCTTTGTTTACAGTTTAGAGCAGGAGACTTGCCGCTGTTGTACTCAAAACCTGTTCCTAAATTCTGGAAAAAAAATCTTCCAAGGTACTTGAAGTTTGTTAAATAACGCAATTTTTTTTGTCATACTGCTCTTTGTAGGTTAGGTTATAAAAAAAAAAAAAATTGGAGGCGGCACTGGATGTTGTTTTGATTAGTTTCCAAAGAGCTTAAAGTTGGGTAGTTATGGTTCCCTGTCATGGCTACAGCTTCATAAATAATTTATTTTAGTACAAGCTAGGGGGGAGAGTAAGATTATAATCTTGCTTGGCAGCTTGAATAAATTCCAGGAAAGATTGAAGATATAGGATTTGTCTTGTTGGGTACTGGTAACCTTGTGGAGAATCAGATGCCTAAGATTCGAAGCATAACCAAAGTGGGATTAGAAAGGGGGTTAGGCCCGCAAACCAAGAAAAGTTATTTCCCCCACCGTTGAGTCTTCCTAGTTAAATGGTTGAAACGGCGAGGCAAAAGTTCTTTCGAAAAGGTGAAGGAAAAAAAACACCAACTATAAGAAAAGAAGAGAATGATTGGGGTCCATTGAGATTATGGAAATAGGAGGGAAAAAAAAATTAAACCACCCTTTCACCGTTTCCAATCTCTGCCATTCACTTCCTTCCCCACCGCTTTTCTTTCCCTCCTTTTGCTTTTCTTCAAAAGGATCTACTCATTGTGGAATATCTATGTTATTCTGCCTTTCTATGCTTTGCAGTGCTTTGTGCATGCTACCGACTCACCTTCCCTTGCACACTTTTCTCACTCATAAAAAGCATGAATTTGCATTTCAAATTTAAAGACTATTTAGGTCCTCAAGATTTAGAGATACAAAATATATGCAAAGATATGGGTTGGAATTTTATTGTCAAAAATGTTCAAGGTACTATTTCTCTATTGTCAAATGTTTAGCTCATTCTTTAAGCTAAAAAAATTCCCACTCTCTTTTCGTTTCGCAAATTGTCCTTTGTGCTGGCAAAACGGGGAGAAAAGAATTAACCTAAGCAACAACTTTGGTTTTTCTTTCTTTCTTTCTTCAGCATTTATAAGGTCTACTTTCTCAAAACACAAAGTGCTTTTCAAATGTAAAGAGTAGTAGATCCATGGGATTTATTCTCTCTCTAACAAACAAATCGATTGACCAAGACTCAACTAGGTGCAGTATTCATTAATTTTCAGGTGTTTGAATCTGAACTCAAATTATGTTCAAATTCGACTATAAAAATTGAGTTAGAGAATACAAAATACTCGGTTATAGAAGTAAATATTGCTAACCTTTTTAAGTGCACACAAAAATACAAAATCCATCTTGAATAAATCCAGCCCTGCCTGCCCTGCCCTACACCCAAAGGGCAACAAACCCGGCATTATGCTTGCTCATTGCCCTTAAACTCAATAATCAAGGCCAGGGCCCACAAGCCTCCCCACCCCACAAAAAAAACAAACAAAAAAAAATTTGTGTAAGATCGATGTCCACTCTTTTCTTTCCCTCCTACACCAAAAACCTCTGTAAGGCACAATGTAAAAACAAAAAGCAGCCTTCTGCAACTCCCATTAATTAATACTAATAATATTTTAATTACTCAACAAACAAATTAAAACATAATTAAATATATAAATATTAGGAAAATTAAGAAAGGTAGATGAGAAAGAATTTCAAAAAGAGTGAGACCCCACGACAGAAAATGGGAACAGTCCTAATACTCCAGTAGCTATAACCTTTACTCTTCATTTCCCTCACTCTCACTCTTTTCTCCAAAAGTGACATTTCCAAGCTTAAATCGGGCGCCACCTCTACAGTACGCGCCACCGCCTAGAGCTTATCTTGTTCTTCCATTCGGTTTTTTTTGTTCTTCTCCGTAATCTTTTTTTTGTTGGCTCAGCTGAGATTTTTACTTTTTTATTTTTTGCTGACTAAACAGTGTGTTGAAATGGGTTGTGCGGCGTCGAAGCTAGACAACGAAGAAACGGTAAGGCGGTGCAAAGATAGGCGCCGCCTAATGAAGGAAGCCGTTCACGCTCGACACCACTTAGCGGCGGCTCATGCAGACTACTGTCGCTCTCTACGCTTCACCGGCTCAGCTCTTTCCTCCTTCGCAGCTGGTGAACACCTTTCAGTCTCGGACGAAACCCCGGCCGTTCTTCTCCACCCTGTCAACCCCTCTCCGCCATCACCTAGAAAACCTATCCCTCCACGTGTACCTCCATCTCCCTCACCTTCTCTCCACCCTCCACCTCCCCCGCCTTTCTCTCCGTCTCCTTCTCCAACAATCGCTAGCTCCAAACTCCCCCACATACTCTCCGCTTCGAGTATGTCATCTTCCGCACCCAATCGTCGTCGGCCACGTAAGTTAGCCCCGAAACTCCCTCACATTTTGTCCGAATCGAGTCCTTCTTCTTCTCCTCAAAGCTCGAAATCCGGATTTTCCAACAACTTTTTCCCCACGGCTTATCAAGCTAATTCCACCTACTCCAACACTCCTTCCCAAGCTTCTTCCGTTTGGAACTGGGAAAATTTTTACCCTCCGTCGCCGCCGGACTCCGAATTCTTTGACGGAAAATTACAGCAGCAAAAGCAACAACTACCACGACGGCATCATCATTTAGATTCTAACAATTTGGAGGATACTGAAGATACCGAAACGGAAAAATCAGAATACGATTTCTTCCGTCCACAAAAACTGAATCACCGTTACAATAGCAATTCCAATAATGCCAAGAGCAATTTTGATGAGGAAACAGAAAGAGAAGAAGTGCAATGCAGCGAGTGGGGAGACCACGACCGGTACACTACAACGAGCTCATCCGATGAAGAGGAGCAGGATGAGGATGATGACGTGGCATCCAGATCCGAGATTGGGACCCGCTCCAATTTCGGGTCCTCGGTGAGAGGGGAGTCGGAGAAATTGCATCATCTTCGTAATCAGACTCCGCCGGTGCAGCCGCAGCCACAGCAGCCGATATATGGGGCCTCCACGGGGAATAAAATGGATAATAAGTCGGAGGATGCGGGATCGTCGGCGGGAAGTTATAGGACGGGTGCCATGATGGATATGAAGATGGTGGTTCGGCATAGGGATTTGAAAGAGATTGTCGATGCGATCAAAGAGAATTTCGACAAAGCTGCCGCCGCCGGGGATCAGGTTTCCGAGATGCTCGAGATCGGCAGAGCTCAGCTCGATAAAAGTTTCAGGCAGTTGAAAAGTAAGTTCCGAAATATGGAGAATTCAAGCTAAATTTTCGTTTTACGTTTTCTTAATTCAAATTGATTTAATTTTACTTATTGGACTTTCGATTTACAGAGACGGTGTATCATTCGAGTAGCATGTTCAGTAACTTAAGCTCGAGCTGGACTTCAAAGCCGCCGTTGGCTGTGAAATACCGGCTCGACGCCACTGCCCTCAATGAACCGGGCGGTTCAAAGAGCCTTTGTTCTACTTTGGACCGCCTCTTGGCTTGGGAGAAGAAGCTTTACGGCGAAGTCAAGGTGAAAATTATCTTCTTTTTTTTATTTAAAAAAAATTAGCTTTATTTCTAATTTTGTATTGGAGACAAGGAGGTCAGAGAAATGACTAGGATATCAACAAATGTTTGATGCCCGGTAGCGTAAGTCCACCGCAGTTTTTGACTGTTTGATTTGCTTTTCCCATTTGGACGAAAACGCCCCTTTCGGAACGGTTAATCCTGTTGATTCTTCATGGGGGCATTATCGTCAAACTAGACAGTGGTCGCTGTCCTTAATCCTGATAGGATTAGTATTAATTAATCTGTTGTTTTATGGTACTACAAAATCTGAGTTGACCAAAATACCCTCCAATTGCTGTTAGACAGTTAGGCCCAAAAGAAGCTTGGGAGCATGGTTTCCACGTCCAACCAACTTACCTTGTAGTCCCAATTTAGCTACTAAGGCCAACTAACTTTTTTACTTTCTAGATTCTCCATCTTGCATTTGTTAATGGGGTGTGAGATTTCTTGTCTGGGAATGTTTTCTTTTTGCATCATAACAGGAACTTTAGTTTCTTGCCTTCCAGTTACTTAAATTAGTGCTGGTTGGTAGAGAATGAAGGTGGTTTCAGTTAATTTGCCGACATGCTTCAATAATAAGTTATTCACCGTGACATTTCCTACCAAGTTTTTAGCTGCTTATTTTTTTATTGAATGTTGAAGGAAAAAGTTGCTTGTTAACTTGTATGAGGTAATAAAAGTATTTTTTTTTTCCACCCAATGGTGTTATTTTATCGAACCTTTTGTAAGTTTCTTGAATTGGTTGGACATTAGGATTCTTCTGGATAAGAAAGGAAACATGTGGTGCAAATAATTTACCTGGTTGTTGAGCCATGCGGTTTCAGATGAGTGCTAATGTTGGCGCTTAATTTTCTACAATTTCAGGCTAGAGAAGGGGTAAAGATTGAGCATGAAAAGAAGTTGTCGGCATTGCAAAGTCAAGAATACAAGGGGGAGGATGAAACCAAGATAGACAAGACCAAGGCATCAATAAAGAGGCTGCAGTCACTAATTATTGTCACATCTCAGGCTGTCTCTACCACCTCTACTGCCATCATCGGGCTCAGGGACAGTGATCTTGTTCCTCAGCTTGTTGATATTTGTCATGGGTAAGTACCGTTTTTCTCTTTTTGTTTCTTTCTCTTTTGTGTTGGGACAGATAATATTTTCTTGTGAAATGTTAAGATGCAAACTATATGCATTGGTAGACCAAGACATATGCTCAATACTCTTTTGGAAAGTTTATATGGTTCAAGAAATACCCATCTAAGTGCCAATCTTGGTATTGCAGTAAAATATCTATGTTCCAATCTTTCTGCTCTCTTTAACAAGGAAAATCTTTCATTCCAAAAAAGGAAAAATCCTTAATTCCAACTCGTTTCCTACTCCTAGATTATTTTTCAGTGAAAGTGCTAAATATTTTGATTTGCCCTGTTTACCATTATTTATTTTATCTTTCTAAATTCATTCTTAGTTATGAGCACTTATCTCTGGATGGATTCAGTTGTTATTGGGGAATTGAATCTTGAATTCATTTTATCTCACATGAAATATTTTAGATCCTGGCATGTTGCCTGGGTAGGTGAACTATTATGACTAATTGCTCTGCTATGCCACTTGATCGTCCCGTCTGTTTGCACATGTGCGTTGTTGTCCTGGACCTTTTTAATTTCTTTCATTCAGAACCAGACAGTGGCCCCAATATTACTTGCCAGTTTTCCTTCGATCTATAAGCCACACACAGGTGGGAGGTGGGGGTTAGGTGCATTGGAGTTAACTATCATATGACCCACCATAATCTTTTTTGACAGGTTGTTGAAAATGGTAAACTGGTCAAAACACTGTTATTGTTATTGTTGTTATCATAATCATCATTTTAGCAACATGATTAAGAATGAGTATTAATGGTATGATGACTATGTATGACCACTTGAAAAGCTATTTTAGATTAGATTAAAACCTTATTCTGAATCACTTTCTTTCTTTTGGTGGTTTAGATTTCCATTAAATCAGGGTACAGCAACTTGGTATCTATTTATTGAAGTTCTGCATAGTGGAACAATTGCAGTGCTAAAATAATTTAAAGTTGAACATTCACATATCAAATTTATTTGAATGCAGCTTTAGGTACATGTGGGGGTCAATGCATCAATACCATGAAGTTCAGACCAATATTGTGCAGCAAGTTCGTGGCCTTATAAACAGATCAGGGAAAGGTGATTCAACTTCTGAACTGCATCGGCAGGCAACACGTGATCTCGAGTCAGCTGTCTCTGCATGGCACTCTAGTTTCTGCCGTTTAATAAAATTTCAAAGGGATTTTATCCGCTCCCTCCATGGCTGGTTCAAGCTCACGCTTCTTCCTGTCAGCAATGACAATGTCGATGGCAACAGAGAGCCCTCTGATGTATTTGCATTTTGCGATGAGTGGAAGCTTGCCCTTGACCGTGTCCCTGACACAGTGGCTTCTGAAGCTATCAAAAGTTTTATCAATGTGGTCCATGTGATTTCCGTTAAACAAACTGAAGAGCTTAAGATTAAGAAGCGAACTGAAACTGCATCAAAGGAACTTGAGAAAAAGGCATCATCTCTCCGGAACATAGAAAGGAAGTTCTACCATTCATACTCTATGGTTGGCATTGGGCTTCCAGATTCTGGGCCTGATCATGGGCAGGTTCTGGATGCTCGAGACCCCCTTGCTGAAAAAAAATCTGAGCTTGCAGGCTGCCAAAGGCGAGTGGAAGATGAAATGCTGAGGCACGCCAAAGCAGTAGAGGTGACCAGAGCAATGACTTTGAATAATCTTCAAACAGGCTTGCCAGGTGTATTTCAAGCAATGACCAGCTTTTCTGCCTTATTTACCGAGGCGCTTGACCAAGTATGCTCCCGTTCCTATCATATCCAATAGTGAATTCATTTTTTTTTTCTTTCCCACTTGAATTTTTGAGGTAAGTTGAAATTTATAAGAGCTGGGATTTTTTTGGCTGTGGGCTCGTATAATTATTGTTTTTCTTTTTGGGTTTTCTTTTCTTTTCTTGGGAATGTGTAAATACATGGGAGGTCTTTTTGTTTTTTTTGTCCTCATCTATTGTCAAGCCAAGGATAGGTGTCTATGTACAGGAAATTGCTCAAGATTCTTGTATGGAAAAAAAGTTCGCAATTTCAGCAGATGAATAAATACACATATTCTGACCTTCCCTCTGTTGCCATGTTTTGTGTATTCTGTGTATACTTCACTTTTGTTTACTGATTTATGTTAACAACACAAATTCTTTTCTCTTTTGGGATGGATTGCTTGTTTTCCCCTGTTTCCCTTGCAGGACAGGGTGGGTGGCTTAAGGTTATAAATATGGTGGGTATAGTAGGGACCAGCCAATTCATTATTCGATCAGAAGGCTAGGCTGGCCATGTTAAAAAGCTCCAGATCCGCTTTCCCAAGCTGATGAACAGTTAATATGTAAACAAATTAGGTGGAACATTTCTCCATGTGAAAAAAAAAAAGAACTGGCAAAAACAGCACACGTACTCACTCGTTTGATATTTGCCCACACATTTAATTCTACTCTGTTCAGCTGCAGACACAGAGATTCAATCATGGAGCTCGGCCCCTCCAATTTTTCAGTTTCTGGTCAACCTGACAGCTTCTGTTTTGTTCCTATCCCTACTCTAATCTGGTACATTTGCTTACTGTCCCTCTAAAGAAGCCAACTTCTATTTTGTTGGTTTTCAACCAAGTGGGAAAGTCAGTCCAAGGAAAGAAATTGTTGTTTCTATTGACAAACTCACATGCAACTTCTGTTTTGTGGCAGCAAATCATGGTTTTCCCCAAGCATCAGGAGAAGTTGTTGAATCTACTGGGTTTTTTTTTTGTTTATGGGTTTTAATCAAATCTTACTCTGATGATTAGATAATCAAGTGTTACTGAATTGCTTCTGTTTTCTGACAGCAAAACTTTTGGTTTTCCCCAAGCATCAGGGGAAGTTGTTGTTGATGATTATATAAATCCGAGATTCAGGTAAGGGATTTAGTTTAAGGCTATTGCCCCATCCCTGATTCCTGATGAGAGCTTGATTGACCGGCTGCAAGAGCGGATCTTCACTGACATTCAACATTAAAAAGCTGCAAATTGTAGATAAGTTTTCTCTATTTCTACAATGTCAAGTCTCAATCTGGAAAAGGGTAATGTTTTCTTAATTGTGTCCCTCTAAATCTAGTATCTGAAGCCTGTTAACTTTTTCTTTTTTCTACCAATAGCCTCATAGAGCTTCAAACTAAACCAAATTTTGAAGGGATTAAGTTCTCTCTCTCTCTCTCTCTCTCTCTCTCTCTCTCTCTCTTTGAAACAATCCGATTTTCTGGCAATCATGAGTTATTTGGCCCATCAGGATCAGATCCTTCCACTAAAAAAAATTTCTGATTGTTTGTTTGTTTGCTTTCAAAGAGCCCATTATTTTCCCATAAAGAGAAGAAAAAAGCTTTTTTTTTTTTGTGATGGACAAGAACTTGGGTCTCACTAGATGATAAGGTTAAAAAAAAAAGGATGAAAGAGTCCAAAGATGCACATGCATTGACGTTGATGTTTGTAACCATTGGAGTGGAGAAGAGGCTACAAAGGGGACCAACATTTTCTTTTCATTTTTTCTGCTTTCAAAGGCAATAAAGTTCAAGATAGTGCTATCCTATGCCTCAATTTTTCCTGATAATGCTAACAAGGTTGGGTTTGAGTCTGTAGTCTTAGGCTTGCCAATAATGATCTCATCTCTTTTTTTTTTTTAAAAAAAAACAAATATAGACACTTAGAGACAGAGTAAGTTCTCGAATATTCTATTCATTTGATTGATATATAATTTTTTTTTTAAAAAAATAAGATTCATATCCCTTTTCTCTAAATATATATAAAAAAAATGTAATAAGTTTCTAATTTTGGGTTTACCGAAATAAAATGAATTGTGAACCAAAACAATGTTAAAAGTCATTTTGCAAAATCTGATACATTATTTTTTGTCTCCTCTAGGAGACTAGAATGATACTGTTAACTTGAGAGGACAAGAGACATGTATACAACCCTATCTAGGTTAGAATCAATATAGATATATTAGATTGGCTGTATTATCAATGGGCCCCCTCTTTGTTTCTGGACCTACATATATGGGTCACCCCATGTAGCCCCAACATCCTGGACCTACATATAAGGATCAGTCCTTGACCTGATTGAACTTTGCAGGCTTAAAGCGATGGGAGACCAAAGACTAAAGAGAGCTAAAATGTGGTCATGGGATTAGTTTAGACCCAGAAGAAAGTGGCTGTTGCCGAAAAACACCACTGACTAAGAGACTACCTACTGCTGAAATCACAATGTTCCCTGTGCTCATGGCTTTGGGATTAATAAAAAAACATTCAGTTAACTTAAATTCGATCGAGTTCGAATAAATACGATTCCATGTATACCATATTTTTTGTCAACACTCAGGGAGAAACCAAAAGGGAATCACGGGGAAAGCGTGTTTCTTCATCAATGCAGCCATGAATGGTCTCTTTCCTCGCATCCATAAGAACAATGGGAGGAATTTGGGACATAAAACAAGACAGGAATTTTGCAAGGTAAATACTGTCTGAATTATCTATTTTGTCTCTCACATCAACTGAGGCTGTGAGTTAATGGGCAAAAGGCAGCATACTTTTTAAAATGAAGCCACTGATTTTTTTTTTGTTCTTTTTTCAATTAACATGAATTTTTTTTTCTTTGATGAGGTAGTGAGCTGAAGCATATCATCATAACAAAGTGCTGTCAGCAAACTCTTGAAGGGATTTGACTAATGATACTAATACAACACAGCATTTTCTAATTCAAAACTAAAAGAACTCAAAGTCCAGATATTTACCCCCAGATTTCATGTCTGTTCCCCCTACCATCCTTTTGCTGCTGCTACCAACCCCAAATGGCTCCACTGGCCCAAATTTCCCAGGCATCCCTGGCAACTCACTCTCCATGGGTCTTGGCACCTCAGGTGGGGTGCTGCATCGAATTAGAGCCCAATTCACACCTTCAAAGAAAGGATGCTGCTTGATCTCAGTTGCTCCCCTCTTCACACCTAGCCGGTGTTGCGGCTCCTTCACCAGCAAGCCTCGGATTAAATCACGGCTAGCATAACTGGTTGCTGGTGAATCTGAGAATCTCAGCTGTTGCCCCACAACATTGAACAGCGTAGCACGGTTTCCTGAGCCTTTAAAGGGGGTTTTACCATACAGCAGTTCATGCAAGAAAATTCCAAAGGTCCACCAGTCAACAGCACTTCCATGGCCTTCTCCTTTGATTATTTCAGGGGCTAGGTATTCATGGGTTCCAACAAAGGACATAGACCGGGCTGCAGTAGGCTCCGCAACAAGCTCAGGGAGGGTACTAGAAGGCAACCCAAATTCAGCTCGAGGCTTTCGGGCTTTCTTCTTGTTCTTTTGAGGGAATATCCGTGGAATAAAGCAGGCAGGCTGGATGCAAACTGATGTAGGCTCAATACAGGCAGGTTGAACACAAAATGCACCACCAGCTCCACGTTTCGAAGGATCAGAATCAATTGCTGAGGTTTTAATCAGTGTAGGAGAAACTGTGCATCTTAAGGAAAGATCAAAGTCGGAGAGCATTATGTGGCCATCATCACGAACTAGAACATTTTCTGGTTTCAAGTCCCTATAGACAACACCAAGCATGTGGAGATACTCAAGCGCTAATAGAACCTCTGCAGCATAAAATCTGCATTAAGAAGAAAAACCGGGGATTATAACTTTTCTGCCTGAAATTCAATGATCTCAGTGGAAAACACTTGCTTATGACACTAATGATGACCAAAGCCTTTAGCAATATGCGTTTATGCCAGCTACAAAAGAAAATAATCTAACTTCCCAAAAATTATGTATCATATATAATAACCTTTTTGAACAGTGACTGAAATTAAATTTCCAGATAGTGCTGGCTTAAGGGGGCAATGAATATCAGAGATTCTCATGCCAAAGTAGGGTCTTAATCCTCTGATATCAGCAAAAGCAGCACTCACACATGCCCAATGAGTCTTAACTAATATGATCAAGCAATATTGTAAGACATGAGAAATATTGGAACCCAAAATAAACTGATAACAATTTCATTCCACGGCACATACTCATAAAAGATGTCTACGGAGTCAAGTAATAAGAACCAAGTGAACTCAGAAATGAAAAGAAATCCATTTCGATGCACAAAACAAGTAGTTTCACTCAGCCTCCTATCATAAATAGTTTTACAGACTCCTGTTCATTCTTAAATAGAAAGACTTATAGTAGGAGATAGGAACTTCAGTTAGTTGCTTCTGCTATATTATCTCTCATGTTCACAGGTTAGCAGGTCCACAAGGACAGCAAGCATCTCCCTGCCTGGAGTTCAGCAGCATGAGGGGGAATCAGTTAAAATGCACTCTATGATGGTTAAGATAGGAACTGATCAAGGAAAAGGCCTGTTAGCTAGACTAGTTTTACTTGACACCATAACTGCAAACTCATCAAAAAAACAACAGTTTGGAATTGTAGATATGCTGAAAGCCCCCAACATGTTGCAGATATGTTATAGATCCCCAACATGTAAAAAAATTTGAAAGAGATTAAGACCACATTATCTACAAATGCACAACAGTTCGGCAACATCCTTTAACATAAAATACAAGGAACTGCAATTTGTGGCTGAAGAAAATGACATGAAATGGGAAACAAGTGTAAGTGCACATCCATCCAATGACTAGGACTAACTTTCGCAATATTATATATATAGAAATATGAAAAGCACATAGTAAGAGGCATATGAGCAACAGAAAAGGAAAAACAGATCAACAAACTACTCCTCATGGAACACAAACTTTTAAGAAATAAGAGGAAATATTGTGAAAGACAATGTGAGTTAGACACAATAAAGGAAGGAAAGCTAAATAACACTGATATAAAAGAAAACCCTTGATGAAGAAAAGATTTTTACTTTTTTTTTCCCTACCCTTTAAGGATGCTAATGCTCTACACAAATAGGAGAACATTTAAGAGCATAAGCCATACCTTGCAGCATATTCAGAGAAATGCTTTCCAGGCTGCCGTTGCCTCAAAGTGTGTAGATCACCCCCAGGACAGTATTCCATAACTAGACATGAGAATCTGTCTGTTTCAAAATGCGTATACAGAGTAGGCAGAAATGGATGGTCCAGCAACTGCAGAATCTCCCTTTCTGTCTGAGCCCTAGTCAACTTCTTACGACTTGCAAGGGATGCCTTGTCCATTACTTTCATTGCAAAATAACAACGAGTACCACTCAGCTCTGAGAGATATACACTGCCAATGTCACCACAACCAAGTCGTTTAAGCAATCTAAAACGACTCACGCCCAAAATCCCATCTCGAGCTCGGATAGCAAGGATGGCCTTCCACCTCGGGTCATTTCCTTTATGAGGTTTATTAGCACTCCCAGTAATGTTGCTCCAGTTACTGTCATCACTAAGGCCACTGCTATCACTTGCTCGGCTAACACTAGTCTTTGCACTCTCAAGTGAATCTGCTCTGACACTTCCCTTTGTACTCTCGCAGTTCCTCTCCATGCTAAGCATGCCATCACTTGTAACTGCATCACTCCTATATGTACTGGCACAGCTATTGACAATGCTCATTGCAGTGACAACCCCTGTACTGTCAATGCTGCTATGTGGACTTACATTACCACTTGGAGGCAAAGAAGCATCCCAAACACATTCTTTTTCATCTGAATCTGGAGGAAGGAGAGAGTTATCTGTATTTTGTGATGCACGTGGAACTGAAAATGGAGAAGATAATGCACCTAAATCATTGGGTTCTTCAACCAGACTTTCTGCTGGCGAAAGAACAGCAGGACTTGGTTTTTTAGGAGGAACCCTAATTGAAAGATCTTCTAGAAAAGGACCCTTCACTGACATGCTCTTCATCAAACACCCAGGATCGGACTTCTTCTGACCAATTGGTACATACATTCTCATTAGATCCGTGTCAACAGGTTCTGGAGGGTGACTAGCTCCAGAAAAAGCACTAGGTCCACCTTCCTCCAATGAGTCACTGCTGCCCTTGAATATAATAACATCAGGCATGATTTCTTCCTGTTCAAGCAAAGAGTCTTTCCCTTTCCATGTCCTTACAGGTGCAGCTGTCTCTGAATCTTGGGAATTTCCCAAATTAGATCGACCCACTTCTTCTCTAACCAATACAGCTTGCAAATTCGGCACAAGACCTGCTTCTCTCCCAAAGACCATACGCGCATTCAACACTGAACTCACAGCAGGCAATTTCCTAGGAAGCACCTTTGAATCTGGAACCCTTTCCATTCCGGCTAATCTGGAATCTTTACATGGAATAATCTTACAGCCAACCCAATCAACCCTGCAAAATGGGGTTGAAATTGAGTTCAATCATTCCACTAGTTTCCTGGTTGAACTTTTAAAAAGCAATCCACTATAACATTTCTATTCCAATATTCTCTAACCATATCATTTGAAATCAGCTATTTCATCTTTTTTTCTTAAATGAACCATTTCTATTCCAATATTCTCTAACCATATCATTCGAAATCAGCTATTTCATCTTTTTTTCTTAAACGGGTATGCAAATTAACTAGATTCTACAATTTAGCCTATTTCATCAGCACACATAATCAATAGAAAACAAATATCAAAACTCAGATGCTGTTTCCAAAATTATACTGCTAAAAGAATAATTTATCATGTATTTCCTCTTCCCATATGTTCTCTCCCAAATAGGGAAGAATTCTTTTAACAAATTTTGATAATTAAAAAAAAGGAAAAACTCACAAAATAGAGCAATCAACCTCTCTCACTAAACCCATAATTTTAGCGCCAACCCTTGAAAACAGAACCCTAACTTGCAAATTATTAAATAACGAAAGCAGATCAATCAACTAAGCTCGTGAAATCCTTAACTTCAGTTGCAATCAACTGAAATGCCAAAAATGGTATATTAAATAAGATTATAGAAACCCTAGTTAAATTTTTTCTCAGAAACAAAAATGGAAAGGAAAAATCACAAATTCGAAATTTCCCCACATTTCTTCTATTCCCTTATCAGCACATTCCCAACGTAAACCCTTCGATGCCACGCAAAAACCCTTCAACCTCCCCCTCCCACTTCCCCCCAAAAAAAATAATTAAAAGAACAAAACATGAAGAATGTTCTCTAATTCCAAGTCAGCAAATATACAAAGAGAAAGAGATCTCAAAAATCTTATTTAAAAAAAAAAAAAGCAAAGGGAACCAGAATACAGAACATTCAAGCCAAAAAGAAAAAACCCAACAAGAACCTGTACGCACTTAAAAGAAAAGAAAAATCAAGAAAAGGATTCACAAACAGAGCTTGAACTCTGCCTTCAATCCCTTCACAGCCTTGAAACAAAAAAATTCCTTCTTTCTTCAAAATTTCCAACACAAATGCTCAATCAACAGGTCGGATAGAGCCCGAGCGATCGAAGCCCGAGCTCTTTTCTTTTTTTCTCTGCTCTTTCTCTCTCTCTAGACTGTGGGGTTTTTTGTTTTTTAGCTCTGCAACTAGAAAAAGCTTTTGTTCTTGTGATGGGTTAGAATTGGCAGACTCAGCTTTTGCTTTCCATCCCTCTTTTTTTTTTTTTTTTTTTTGAGAGCTCCTTCGCTTTGGCTTTGCTTTGTAGGGAATGTGCAGTGTGCACTTTAGGATTTCTGAGTGAGAGTGGGAAGGGAGGCGAGGCGAGAGAGAGAGTGTGTGAGTGTGGGTCCCAATCGGGCCCAGAGTAAGCGGGTCCCATGTCTGTTCCTTCTTTAAACTACATTGCTTTTCACAGGTAGGGACGCTCCCGCTCTCTGTCATCACCAAATTCGAACCATTTTCTTTCACTATCGGGTTCGGATTTTCTTCAGCTTTGCGCTGCCAAACTGGTAATTAACGAGCGCGTCAATCAGCGCGTGTCGTTGTTCTTTTTAATAATAATGATGCAGGTCATTTTCCTTTTAGATTATAATAGGTAATAAAAATCTTTTTAAAACACTATACATAAAAAACTATACATTATATAAATAATATGTGTAATTATGATATAAGAATTATAAATATTAATTATCATTTTAAATATTAAAAACTAAGCTTGTAAAGATTCTTTTTAATTTTTAATTTTTAATTTTGTATAGTGTATTTTTTTAAGAAAAATAATTTTAAATAAAAAATAATTAAAATGCCAATAATTTGTATTCAAAAGTTTAAGTTAGGTATAACTTTAAAATTTTTTTAAAAGAATCATATTTAATTAATTTATGTAAATAAAATAATCGCATCAGGTCATCCATTTTTTACTAAAGCAATAAGTTAACAAAGATTTTTTTTTCTGGATCAATTTCACAAACAATCCAACTAAAATATTAATTCGAGTTCAAAATTAAGTCATTGATTACTTTGTTAATAGGTCAATTATTATTGGGGAATAAGTTGCTTAAAACCGTCTAAATTGTTTAATGCTGTTTAAATTTTTTGGTAGAAAAAAAAAAGTCTTGAGCAATGAAAAATTAAGGAGGCCGCATGTGGTTGTTATACTTTTGTTATTACTCCACCAATTCCACATAATGCAGAGCCTTCTTTAATGTTTAAATTACAAAATAAATTCAATACAGTTAGAGTTTAAATTACGTAATAAATTCAACATAGTTGACACTTATTACAAAAGAAAATGATTTTAAAAAAAAGTTTATATGTAATATTTGTCAGTGTATCCTCTCATAAATATATAAAAAAAATTAAAATACTTTTAAAATTATGAATATTTATTTTTAAAAACTTCTCAATTTTTAAATTTATTTATTAATAAAATAATAATATTTAATTCACTGTAAATATGTCAAATATAAATTTATATAAAAAAATAAAAGATGAATAGATACCTAAAAAGGGTTTGGATCATTGGATGTACAAGTGATGGGGTGAAGCGCCATGATTTTTAACACAGATTTTGGTAAAAGGTAGGGCCCACCACTTTGGCTTGCGGCGGGGCCCAATCCTTTTACTAAATTAATATTTTTTTTAATTTTAAATCATATTTGATATCCATTTTCCACCGTAGGTCTTATGTAGTTCTACTGTTCTCGAAGACGTGGCCTATGAGTATGGAGGAATGACAAGGCTACCATTTAAAATAAAGGAAATTATAAATTAATGTTTGGTTTAATTAATTAAAATTAAAAAATCATGGAAAAACTGAAAACCACAAATAGAGTGAATAAAGTAGATATTTTAAAATTATTTTTCCTAATTTTTTATTTTTTACATTTGATATTTATATTATATAAAATATTATAAAATTAAAACTTTTATCTTAATTTTCATAAGAATAAAAAAAAATAAGGAGTATAATTTACATAATGCAAAAAAAGAGGATTTTTTATATAATTTAAATGACCTTTAGCCTTAATGATGAAAATTTTAGACTTAATTCTCTAATTATATATCTTATTGCATAATTCAAACATTTAATTATATGCTTTTCAAGTGGCCAACAATAATAAACACTTTCCTAGCATTTTGTATCCGTCATACCAAACACAGCATTAAAAGTTTTCAATCTCAACATTCCATTTGCTGTCCAGTCGAAATGCCGAGTTGGAACGGTAAAAAGTAAGAAAAAGAAATCCTTTTCCCTTTCTTTGGAAAAACTTGAAGACGACATTGTTGACCAAAGAAAACCAAACACTCATTAGGAAATAATTTCATCAATCAATTAATTAAAAAAAAAATGGGAAACGGAAAGTTCTTTTCTTGGCTGTAGTTTTTAGTCAAAAGAAATGAGAATTTGGGAACCAAAGCCGTGGAAAATTGTTTTCACGGCAAGGAAAGAATAAGATTCCCGCCGCAAGCAGCAAACAGTCGGTAATTTGGAACTTGAGGCGCGTTTAGGAACAAGAGCGCGTTTGTTCAGACAGTGAATTCTCATTTTTTTCCTTTGGGGGCTGGATGTCCAAAGTGCCCCCGCAAATGTAAACATCTGAGACAGAATTTGTTGGGGTGGAAGGAGGGTCAATTTGGACATTTAGGAAAACGACGCATGCGCGTGCATGGTCTATCAGTGTCTACCTCTTGGCGTTGGCAATCAATAATGAAAACGCAAAATAGGACGACAGGTTGGTGCGTCAGAGTCAGGTCAGGGTTGGGGGGTGGGGGCGCGGTTAGACCAGAGGTGGATAAAATCTAGAGCCCAGGCACGCAGGCAAGACGAGATCTAGCCACCGAGAGTGCTTGAGTGGTCAGCATCCCATGCCAGCTGCTGGTCCAAAATGTTCTTGCTTGAGACAAAATGGTTACTTCCTCCACCCGGCTCTTAATTTCCATTCTCAAATAAATAAAGAGAAAAAAGTGATTAAAAATAAAAAAAATAAATGTGTAAAAGGAAATTAATAACAGCAGTGAATTATGTCTGAATAATCCAAGGAGTGAAATCAGTAAGGTTGTTGGTCTGGCGGTCGGTCGACCGACCACGGTGAATTATTTCGACCAAATGCCTGCGGTCAAGTTAACTACACTAGCCGTTAGCTTCTGCCCGTTTTTAGTTTTTGGTTTACTACCCCGAAAAAGAGGGTTGTACAGACAGACACGACGACCGTACATGGAGTCGTTTTCTACTGTGGTTCATGTCCGAACATACTGGAGTCAAGTTCTTAAGACACGTCGCGATCAGTAGTCATTCGCTAAAGAATTGAAACACTATAGAGGAAATGACAGAGACTGTTCATACCACGCTAAGAAGCTTTCTTGAAAAACAAAATTAAAAAAAGAAAAAGAAAAATCATACATTTACGTTGTACTTGAAAGCATGGTACTTGTTAATTTAAAAAAAATAAAAATAATACATTTACGGTAAAATAATGTGTGAAAATTAAATTCTCATAATATTATTTAATAAAATTGAAACACTATCTTAAGAAAATCATTAAGAAGTATCATATCAATAAAATATTAAAAAGTCATACCGTAAAAAAAATTTATTAAACAATTAGATTTGTAATATATATAAATGATATTGATTTACCAAAATATTTAATAGCTAAAATTAAATCTGAATTAATACTTGGTTCATTTGTCTCAATTTCAATCACGATTTTATTGTTTATAGTTAAAATCACCTTACAACATACCTTATCTTATATCAACAACAAATCTTAATAAACATCCCATAATCTTACTTGATATATGTAATCATTTTCGAGTTTGACAAAGAAATCGTATTTTCAATTCCTTAAGTGGTTGCAAAAGACATCTCCTGCTTAGGATTGATAGCATGAAATTCAATAAACTTCATCGATGTTAAGTAACATCCAATCTTCCAATCAATAACTCCACGAAAAATCTATTGACATCAAATTTCATTATAAAATCTTAATTAGAAGTTTAAAATTAATTTATTTGATTAAAATTGATGTGGACAACTAGTTACAAAATTTGATTAGACTCAAATTCAATAATAAAAATGAATTTTAATTATTTGTATATATTTTACTAATGAAAATGAAATTAATAAACTTCAAAATTATAGATTCTATCAAAATCTATTTATACTCTGATTAATCCAATTCATACCGATTAAATAGTGTGGGATTCTTATTTACATACCATCCATTATCATCTCTATGTACTTCAAAAATTATAATACTAATTTAATTCGAAACTTCGGTTAATTGATTTCGGAGGAATTGAAGTGCATTTCTTTATCAAAATGGACAAGACTTTTGCTCAAAGAATGGAAAAAATGTCGACCATCGACACCAAGAAAAAAAAGGAAGGAAAAACTCAATCAGTGCTTGATGAAATGCAACTGTTTGAGTCAAAGAAACTGTTCTTGGTTTTATTTTTCTATCCGATTTGGAGATGCACTCACCGAATTGGGGAAAAAAAGGTGTTGGGGTTTTCAATTTCATTGAGATTTTTGGTTACCCAGCTCACACAAAAAACACAAAGTCACCCCAAAAATATAAAGATGCGAATCCTATAACACACGACAAACGTTTGGTCAAAAATATTTTAATTAAAAAATAAAAGAAAAAAAAGAGGGTGACATGGCACAATAGGTGGATGATGTGGATCATGATTGGGAGACTTTATTTATTTATTTTTGGAGTCGATGGTCACGATCAATTAGACAAGTTATCATGTGAGACTCCAATCCCATGAAAGTTTTTTTAAAAAAAGAAGGGCTTAGTGATTAAAATGATTAGCTCCAAATATTATATCCATTGCCCACATTGAAAAATGTGGGGTTCTTAGCAAAATTTGGTTCTCTCTCTCTCCCTCCCCTTTGCTTTTTTGAAAAAGAGCAAATTGGGTAGGTTTGAAAGTTTGTGGATTTGTGAATATTTTGTGTATTGGAATTAGGAAAAGGGGGAAGGGGGGGCAATCTAAAGTTGGCTTCTTTCATGATTCCTTTTCTTACTTCAAGTTTGGTCCACACCCAAGGCTTTCTTTTCTTTTTCTTCTTTTTTTTTTTTGGGTGGTGTCAGTGGCTCTTCTCAGGTGTTACCTGTAAATCCTGCACTAAATGAGGAGCATATGGCTTACCTTTTTGTTGTTGTTGTTGGTGGTGGTGGTGGTGGTGGTGGTGGTGGTGGTGGGGAGAGGGGAATGGGTGTTTTCTAGTAAATTTTTAATTATATCCCATCATGAAGTCACTTTGATTCACAATAACTTGCCTTGGCTTAAACAAAGAGGATGGAAATCACACAAGTACCTAGATTTTTTACCCTACCAAATGATTTGAACTTCCAAACAAAGGCATAGGTTGGTAACTTGGTCTTGTGTGTTCACATGACTTGCTTTTTCAATTAGAGTTAAAGTTAAAGTGCTTGAGCTAGTACGAAGATACTGTTCGCATCAACTAAGCAATAATATAAGTTATATGCTTTGTTGTTGTTATTTCCATGGAGATCTTCTATATTAAAAATTTGTATTTAGTTATTAATTGTTGCATGTAATTCTAGAATTAGTGTTATAGTCCAATTTATCGTAACTTGTTACCATAGCACAATGACGTGTGCAATAAAGATCACGCTCTGAGTGATAAGTATCTTAATTTAAATCAATTTAATGCAAATTAAGTTTTAAATATCGTTGACTTGATAATTCTTCGAATCTACACAATTTGATCATTCAAACATTGAGTTTTAGGTTAAGATTTTGAATTTATTGAATATTTAAATATGACTCATTGGGTACAAAGTTAAGTTTGCAATTAATTTAGGGGAGGAATTGAGCTAAATCTTCCTATCATTTTTAGCTCAACTGCCACTTAATTACATCCACACAAATTCTTTATAGTGCTAAAGGCAGAGGCCTCCTGAAAATGGGGACAAGGCCCATGAATGGATTGAGAATCTACCTTAATGGTCTGGACCCAAAGGCCCAATTTTAGTTTGAAAAATGGCAGATCTTGGTCCAAACCATGGCCCATCGTCTAGTAACGAGAACCAAAGTTATCTATAAAGTGTTACAAATTATTAAATATTTAAGCAAAGAGTTATACCATCCATCTATTTTTTATTTATAATTTCAGACACCAGATTATTACCCTAAAATCATTTTTAATATATGATTATTAAACAAATTTATATTTGACACATCAACGTATGGATTTTATACATTATAAATGAATCAAATATTGATATTAATAAAAAATTTTAAAAATAAATATTTATAATGAATTAAATATTGATATCTTGTTAAATTTTTAGAATATTTAAATATAAATACCCATAATTTTAAACCTTAACCTTTTCGTATCTGTGATATTATGATTTGGAATTAAGTGATAACATAACGTGGAATAAAACTTTTATTAAATTACAAAAAGGCCAATCTAATAGAAGCCCAATTGAGAGCATAATCGAGTCCACTACCAAAAGTGGGCTAGCTCGGCCCAAAAAGAAGAGGGAAAAAAAAACTTGCCCGACTGTTTTGACTCGTGCGCGTGGTAGAGTCTACCAGTGGGACCCAGCCGTTGTCAGTTTATCTCCTCAGTAATACGCCACGTGTAACAAAGTCAACGTCTCCACTTGAAGACTTGGCGTGGCAGTGAAATTGACTGCAAAGCATCCACGGTCGTTTGCTTCCGCTTTCAGTCCCTTTTAGTTTCCCCTCAACTACCCTTCCCCTTCACGCTTCCCTCGTTCTGGGGCTCTCTCCCACCAAAAGAAAACAACCGGAAGCACAGATCTCAGCCATCTTTCTTTGGTTTCTTCCTTTGTGCTATGGCAGTGGCGTCTGCCGCCTCGGAGAGGATCGATCTGCCGAGGCCACCCATGGATCCTTCTCTTTCGAAATTAGCTTCCGACGTCGTTTCCGAATCTTCAACTTCGCCTAACGCTTCGTCTCCCACCGGCACGCCCGATCGCAACGACCCTTCCAGTTCTTCGCCTAACCTTAATTACAGAGATGTTGAAATTCAGGTTCCCTTTTCTATCATTCTCTTAACAACTTATTCATTTCGCTTCTCCGTACGCAAAAGTTAGGAAAGAAAGGCGAGAAAGGAGTTTGTTTTGAAGTTAATTTTTGGCAATTCCTGATGATTATGCGTGAATTCGAAAAGAAATTACCAGTGTGCAGGCATATTTGCTTTCATAAAACTTTCTGTTATCAGGAATTTGTTGAAGCTTTCTTGTTTTCATGGTTAAAATTCTTAAATTAGTCAATGAAAGTTTGGAGCGGTTTTGGCATCCTAAGTAGCAAGGACCATCTTGATTAAGCCTTTTAAGTGTCAACTTTCTGGTAGTAGTAGAGCATAACGTGTGAGGCATTTTAATTTCTCACCTATCGCATGGTGTATCTCACTAGGCATTATGGCTATTGCTAAAGTCAGAAATTGTTGCTAGCGAAAATAAATTATATTGGCCAAATTTATGTACGTTGAATGCTATGAAGGGACCAATAAGGCAGTCAGCTCATGGGTAGTACCCAATAAGTTGTTAAGGTAGCTGTTTTGCAACGATCCCAATTGAAAATAAATGTGGAATAATGTTTAATTGGTGTTTTGAAGAAAGGAAATGTGATTTATAAATATTTTAATCTAATAAGAGATTTAAAAGAGGATTGCCTTAGAAGATACGTTAACTTATGCATAAGGATGATGTAAAATGACACCTTAATGGCTAAATCTCATGCTTTTGAGTTTCAGTCTGCAGCAGCATTAAGGAGTGAAGAATACCGCCAACTGTTCAGGCTTCCACCGGAAGAGGTGAGTGTCTTCAGTCTGACAAGATTACTAGCTGTTAGCAATTCTCTATTTGTCTCCTTTTCATTTTGTTTGACATTTTTTGGCTGGTAAATGCTAGGATTGTTTCTCATGATTGATGTAAACGATATACCACCAGGTTCTAGTTAAGTTAAACATTCATGTAGAACGCACACCATGCCAAGAATATTCTTATTTTGTTTTTGGCCAAAGATTGAAAATGCTTGTTTGTGCTGTCCTTTATGCTTTAGATTCTAAATGGTACCTATTGTCCCCTTTAAAATCTTTAAAACATTTTTTCTTTGAAGTTTAAAGGAAGTGAGCGCCTTTAGTCTCTAGTCTGTTCATGATCACTAGGTGCTAGCAATTCGCTTACATTTTAGACTTTTAATAATATCTATTGTAGTTATTAAACTTTTATTTTTTGCCCTTTGCTGCAGTTCCTTGTTCAAGATTTTAATTGTGCATACCAAGAGAGTATCCTTCTTCAGGTAATCTAGATCTCTGCAATAACCTTCTCTGTCTTGAAGTTTCATGCTTTTACTTAGATGATTTGTTTACCCTGCCACATCTAGTATTTTTTTTATCAATTTCTTGTTCAGTACATCACCTTACCTTCTTTTCATCTATCTCTAGGGGTGGGGGTAATATTCTTTGATTACATAGTGGCTTTAAGGTCTAATTTTATTCCTTTCTCTAATTTTTATGCATTATATGCTTGATGCAGGGTCACATGTACCTCTTTGTTCGTTATCTTTGCTTTTATTCCAATATATTTGGATTTGAAACAAAGGTATTCCTCTAACATTGGTTAGATTGTTTGTTTTTCTGTGTCCTATTTTCTTGTCAACTTTTGCAAGTTTTACACAACAATGATTATGATCTTGTAATATTTTACGGGCTTGTTTTTCAGAAAATAATTGCCTTCAATGAAATTACAAGTGTTAACAGAGCAAAGACTGCAGGAATCTTTCCTAATGCAATAGAAATTTTTGCTGGAGGAAGAAAGGTTGTAGTACTTGACTTGCATTGTTTTGTCTTTGTGCCTGTTTAAATGTTTGTATTCTGTAAAAAGTAGTATCCAAGTTCTGTTTCACTTATGAATCGCAGTGAAATTACCTGACTCTACTTGTTGATTTGGTAGTACTTCTTTGCATCATTCCTATCTCGTGATGAAGCTTTCAAGCTCATTAATGATGGATGGGTGCAGCATGCTAATGGAGCCAAAGAAATTACAGAGCAACAGGTATCTTAATGTTTCATAGCATATTAGTAGCAGCATTTAGAATATTGTTAGAAGTCTTAGGACTTTTCTGTAAGCATTTCTGTATATTTTCTTTATATCATAATTAGATCATTGATTTTGATGCAAAATATGTCATTGAATAAATCGAGCAGTATTCAATATTTTTTTTTTTTAGGTTGTTTAAAATATATGATGAACTTATTTCACATGTTTTCTTTATGGCATTGAATAGGGTTGTTGTCATCTTACAATAGACAAATCATTAGGTATGCAGTGAATATGGAATACATCTTTTCATACTCTTTCTTGATACATAGCATACATGCACATCTTAATGTAAGTTTTCACTATTGCTTCATTTAGAGGTATTTTGTATCGTATACTGATTTATTAATCTTGTTTTTCCTTTATCTTTATTCTTCCATATTATCCATACATAAGAATTTTGTGGAGATTTTCCATTTCATTCAACAAAATTTAAGACATTTAGAGGATGTACAGTGAAGCTGGGAATCTTATATTACACTTCATGCATCACATTTGAACCTATGTGTATTTCACTCTTTCACTCTTTTCTTTTTTATATATGTCTTTTTTACTAATTCATTTTTCCTGATTGAAATGTTGTGAAAACTTTGAGGTTCATAGCTTCGTTAGAGCAAATTGCATATTTTCCACCATTGGTTGTTTTCTTATACTGGTTGAATTTATTGTAGGAATCCATCTCTGAGTCCAGCAGCCAAGAGAATGGATTTGTTGCAATTGAAAAGGTCAATAGCTCCAAAAACCTAATAAATGACATGGAATCTACAGACAGGTATTTGTTACGGACAGAATGGTTAGGAGATCTTTCTTGTGAATTCATCAGAGTTTTGTTTTTTTGTTTTAAACTTTTACATATGTGACTTATTCTATTTAACTGCATGTTTTATACAGGGATGAGGATGTTCCCACCTCTAGTGATTCCAACCTTCCATCCAATTTGGAAAATGATGCAGAAGTAGGTCCTGAATCAGTTATAATTACCAGGTCTTCAGCTTCAGCAGATACTTGTTCCTGGAAGCCAGAGAACTGTGATGCGCCAAAGGGTACGTTAATCCTGTTTCGTATTGTGACTTTCTCAGGTTCTACATATTTTTTCATTTTGAGTTCATCATTTCTAGTTGTGGTTGTCTTGTACTTTTTTTTTTCACACTTTGCTGCATACTGAGTTCCTTGATTATTCGGGGTTTAGGGTGGAATCAACATTTATTTTTGTACATGATACCAAACTTTTGTTTTTGTCTATGTCATGATATTCTGAACGGGCTGTTTCTTGTATGCAGTTCCTGAAGATTTTACCAAGGTTGCAGAAACAAAGTTTCCGGTAGTAAATTGTGAAATCATTTTCCTTAACGTTCTACCATATTGTAAAATATTTATAGCATTGGTAAGTTCTTAATTTGTTCTGAAGTCAGTCACGTTTCTTGGGCTGCAGATTAAGGTAGAGGAGTTCTTCAGGTTATGTTTTTCTGATAATGCTGTTAATTTCATTGAATCTTTTCATAGAAGATGTGGAGATAAAGGTAGTGTGCTCTGAACTTTTGAGGAATTATAAGTTCTAAATACGCATTTTTAGTTTATGTTTGTGTTTAATATTTTGATTATATCTTATGGTAAAAGATGTCATTTTCTGCATCTGTGCCTTCATGTTTAGTAAATGGTTATTTTTTACAGAATTCAGGTGCTCTTCATGGTGTCCTCATGACAATTTTGGACATGTTCGTGATGTGTCATTTCAACATCCAATAAAAATATACTTTGGTATGATTTTATTATTATATGTCATCTTTTTGCCCCAGCATTATTATCCTGCTGAGATTAGCATTATTTCATATAATTGTTATAATTAATTGAAAACTTTTTAAAATAAGGACAAGGATAATTGCAATGGCACAAAAACTTATTTGTTTTTCATTTTTTTTGTGGTGGATGTAGTATTGGTTTATGTGTATGTCAGTTTAACACTTTCTTGACTGGGTTTCTTTTAGCATTAATATTTTCTGTTTCAATCAAGGTGCAAAATTTGGTAGCTGCCAGGAGACCCAGAAGTTTCGAGTTTACCGAAACAGGTTGTTACATATTTCCTTGGTGGTGCCTTGTATGCTATTATACAGTTGAAGTCACTGTTAATCTATTATTATTTCTCATTTTGAAGGGATGCACCCTTTTTGCATCTCCTTTAGATGTTTTGTATTCTTTCTTCTTTTTCTTGTGTATATCCTGACAATATGACTTTTACTTTGTACAGTCATCTGGTTATGGAGACATCACAAGAGATCAATGATGTACCTTATGGTGATTATTTCCGTGTAGAGGTACAAGCTAGACCTGAGCCCCTTGATATGCTTTAATGTGTAAAGTGTTCTCCATCCCTAGTTTGTAAGTGCAGTTTTAGCCATTTAGGCATAAATTATCCTGATATACTTGAGCAGATTATGGGGGCAAAATTGTCAGAAATAGCAAGGAAAGTTGCACTCTAGCCCTTCAAATTGAGAACTAAAACAAAAGCTTGATGCCACATCTACATCTTGTTGGTCTATCTATGTGCAATATTGGAGACAAATTTGTCTTTTGTGTTTGAAAAAGTTTAGGTTGGTAATCTCTCTTGAGCCAAAGCTTGGCTGCCCCAGGTTATCCATATGGTGTTGCAATTTGTTAGGCTACTGCTCAAAAAGAGAACAGTAAGAAGAAAACGGGGATGACTTGAGCAAAAATAACATGAGCGGGACAGGCCATCTGAAGGAATTTGAGTTAAAATAGCATAGTAAAACTTGTGAGGATGCTGAACATGAATACTTATAAGCCATGGAAATAGGTCACCAACACCACTGTCTGCAATCAGTTGTTCTGAAAGCTTTCTCATTGTTTTGTGCAATAATAATTTGTTTCTGTTCTATATGTGATGCTTCTAGTTCGTTTGAAATGTTTCTGATATGTGCTGGAAAATGCTGTGTATCCTATCAGGGGCTTTGGGATGTAGAAAGGGATATTGATGGCCCTCAAGAAGGCTGCATTTTGAGGGTTTATGTGAATGTGGCTTTTAGCAAGAGAACTGTTTGGAAAGGTTTGACTTTGCTGATGAATCTTTTGTTTATGGTGTGTTTTATGAATTTCTTGTGCTGCATCTTTGTATTTTGAGGTGCTGAGCTTCTCTTCTTGTGGTTCCTTTTACAAATCCTTTTGCTTTCATGTCTCATCTTATAATTGTATTGAAAGTTTTATTTAACTGTAAATTAATTTTGTGGAAGTGCCAGAAAGATATTTTCTTTTAGAATGAAGTGGATTATTTAAAGTTAAGTTGAGGAAGGACTTATTTGAGATGAAATCTAGAATTCCTTGCAATAATGGAGATCTTAAGGCCAAGATCCTTTTGTGTTTCATCTCAATTGTTTTGAACTTGTAAACTGACAGTCCTTTATCCTTTGAAGATGAGCTGAGAAGGATTTATGGTTTTTGTTCGTTTTGAATAGATCACTAAGTGTACTTTTTGCTGTTATATTAATGATTATATTTCTTGTAACTTCCCCTTTATCTGATGCCAAGCATATGGTACAGGGAAAATAGTGCAGTCTACTCTGGAAGAATGTCGAGAAGCTTATGCAACATGGATAGACATGGTATTAGTATTATCTTTCTCCAGTATTATTATGTTTATATTGTAAAGTTTATTTGAACATTGATCTAAAAAACTTTATCATTAATGTTTCAGGCACATGAATTGTTGAAGGAGAGCCTTGATAAACAAGGAGGTTTGGCCATCAGATTGTGTTTTTGAAGAATTTCCTCTAATGATGTTTATGCTTTGGGCAGTGATGCAGATAATGGAATTACTGACTTAACTGCTTTTGTCTCAAGCAGGGGTAGATTCTTCTAGAAGTTCAGCTGAAAATGGTGAACTCCAAATTGAAAGGGAAGTGGCAACCAAGGAACTTTCAGAAAGATCTCATAATTTGAGTGATCCGATAAGGACATTGCAGACGTCTGATTATCTGGATGTTAACCAACGAATTGGCACTCTTTTGCAAGGAAGTTTGACTAGTGCTTCGTCCATCGCATCTTTGTTAAGAGAGTTTGCAAGGAAATCCTACTCATACTTGAAAAGCCAAGGCCATATTTCAGTAGTCTTGGCTGTTGTCTTTGCTGTGATCTTCCTGATGCAGGTTTAATGCTCCCTGTTCAACTTGTTACCTTCATTATAATTCATCTGTAGATTAAGTTAATCTGGAGCGACAATCTAATTTACTCGTCGATTGTCATACTCGTAGCTATGTTCAATAACAAGTCATCACAATATGGACTTGTTCCAAGAAGCTTTCCTCTCTTGCAAACTGATCAACAACCTACAGTTTGATTTAGATTTTCCATATCATGTTGTCAGCTCCTTACAGCTCTCATTCTTCTTTCCCTTTCTTTGCTTTTCTTTTTTAACTGCAGGTAAGCATTCTTGTGCTACTAAACAGACCGCAACACATTCATGTGAGTTATCCGGCACAGTATACCGGCGGCATGGGCAGTGGAGCCAGTGAAAGGCCAACCGAAGCTGTGGCATGGTTAGAGAAGCGGATGCATCACCTTAAAGAGGAGATGGTCATGGTCGAAGCGCGGTTAGAGAGGATGTGGCATGAGCATGCTGCTTTAAAAGCACAGTTAAAAGAACTGGGGTACCCAAAGAACCACAGATAAACATCTTACTTGTATATTTTTCACTTAAAATAACATATTTCCATAGTAAATCTTACATTCTTTTCATAATTCTGTACGTAGATGCCTGTAATTGAAATCTGAAGATAATAAACCGCAAGGTTACTTGTCATGCCATGATCCCTACTGTTTGAATTATAAATAACAAATTTCAATTTCATACATCACCATTGCTGCATTTGTCATCTCAAAGAACCTCAAAGACCTATTTAAGTAGGCTATTACTTAAAAATTTAAGACCTATTTCATCTTTTAGTTTAAATCTTAATATAGCTTAAATAAGTAAAATTAATTCTTTAATCAATCACTTTGGACTAAAAACAATTTCTTAATCAATCAGCTTCGAGTCAATTTTTGGATTTAAAAATTTACATAACTTTATTTCTAAAGATAATATTTTCAGGTAAATTATACCGTCATTTTCACTTAAGAGTGAATCTCATTTTTTTTTCCTGTTAAAAGCATAAAGTTGGCATTTAAGTTGAGTAAGCGATCAATACTCATGCATTTTCAATCATTTAGCATTTGAATCAACGATTAGGACTAAAGCTGCTTTCGATGCCAGGCTTTCAGCTTCAAATTTCAGTGGGAGATGTCTCCACCGACTGTCAAACCTCAACCAGTATTCCTATAGCAACACGGCTGTTCCTCACACATCCTTCGTCCCTACCGTATATGTTCTGATAATGACCAGAGGAAGAACGAAAGAATGAATGAATGAATGTGTGTTAGCGTAAGGGGGAAAAACCCTTTTACACAGATGGAGGAGAAAGAACGTAATAAAACTACAATTTTTGAGGCATGTTCCACATTGGGGTTTGCCATTAGTAGCCATGAAAAGCTGGTCCGATGGTGGGACAACGTATATGTGGCAATAAGGTTTGATTTAGAAAGGGTTTCTGACCCTGCAGCAAGCTTCAGCTTCGTCAATTAGGACTTGTTGTAAACCAACCATCCATTCTGCCATGGCATCCACGTTTCAGGATTTCATTTTTTTTTTCCCTTACTCGGACGAGGTCTTTAAATTGTGAAACACACTTTTTATGATTTGAAAATGTTTTTGCACCGTGAATCCTTGACTCCTTAGAATCAACCAATGAAACACTCTCAAAACATTTATGACTACTCTTTAAAAGTTTGTAGTTATATTTTTATATTAAACACAGGAATTGAATTTTATCACGTCGGGAAACGATATTACTAAATATGATAATCTTTCAATAATCCGGTTAGGACACTCGGGTGAAAAATTCTATGTATTATATAGTATTTACAATAATAAGAACATTCACCCATTGAAAAAAATGCTGCAATATGGATGAAAATGATTGCATATACTTAGGGAGTACAGACGGGCATGGGGTCTTAAGGATGTTGGTCGAAAACCAAGTTGTCTGTTGATGACAAGGAGAGTTTGAGAAAACTAGCTTTCAATAGCATTTTGGTTAGTCTATTTTCAAGTAAAAATTTAATATTTATAAGAATAAAATTGTAAAATTAAAAAAAATAAAAATACATTATAAAAATTTTAAGCCGTTTTCTCTCTACCATTACCTTCTCAAGACTTCGACTTTTGCAATATATTGATTTATCTCTTTTCAAAACTCCTTAAAAGACGAAAAATGATTCAAAGAGTTTTAGCCTAAAGATTTTTAGAATTGTTGATTTAAGATGCATGTCTAGAGGATTAAGGAGTTTGCTTGCAGCTATAAGTACTGAGAATTTACATAAGAGGGAGATGTTAGCCTAATTGGCTGAAGGCATGCAGCAGCGATTAGAGAGATTTCAATTTAGGCCAAAAGGTATGCTTTACCAAAGCAAAAGAGAGGAAGACAATGGCTTTGACAGAGAATTGACGGAGAAAGGTGTGGTCCTATAACCTATAAGTTGAATTGGATTACCATTTCCATGGAAAATTCTTACCCCCCCTTTTGTTTGTTTTTGTTGTTTTCCTCGTTTAAATCTTTTGAATAATTAGAGGTTACCCTTCAATCTCACTAAAATATGACCCCGAACGTTGTACGCAGACCTCTTTACACCTTTCTCTTTGCTTCAACATCTTTTCTATTTCTCTCCATTTGCTCTTCATGTGGTGGATTCACCTCTTTGCACTGCCTCTCTTTCTCTCTCCTTGCTTCAACAGCTTTTCTCTTTCTCTCTTTGCTTTCCACGTGCTCAATTCTGGAACCACAGTTAGGGCTTTTCTTTAAGTATGTTATAGATTAGCATAAATATCTAATTATAGCCAGCCTTAATTTTGCCTTCCATATCTCATATTTATATCCCCTTCCTTTCTTGATTTATCTTAGACTACTAGTATTTGACGGTAGAGTTCCTGCTTCAACAGTATAATACGGTTTACAATATCACTAAGCCAGATGTTTTTAGTTCTAAATGTATAAATATTATACATTGATAATGTATCGAATTAATATAAATCCTAATTTAAATATTATTCGACAAATTTACTAAACGTGCTTTCAATAAGTACAATAGTTTTCCTTTTTTTGCCATTATTGGATAACGACAGTTAGGTCGCCTAATTTTCTTAGTAGCAATGTTGTAAATAACAACGGGGAACACACATTGCTATCAATTAATATTGAGAGGATAATCATTCTAGTTATTAAATCAGATCATTTCGGGTATTAGTTGTACCATTATTACAATAAACTATGCTTACGTCCTAAAGGTTTTTGACCTCCTATATCGTAAAATACGTGTGCAGGTGGCCAGGTTTTTTCATAAATGATAAATACTTTTTTGTACTTTCTTTTTCTACGATTACATGCAATTGGCCCTTCTTTGTCACTAGCATTTAGATACTGTCACATTAAGATAGTCCTTGTTTAGACTTTAAACAAGGCTTTTTTTTTCTCTCGATCAATTAAATAAACATCTCAACTACATTTTGACTTTTTGTTGCTATCGATTTTTTTTTGTACTTCTCATATTGTGTGTGTAAATTTAAGTTTACATTGAAAACTAAAGTATAATCATAATTGATTATAACATAACATGTTAATTTGACATAATAATATAATCATGCGATATTTTTTTATTTTTTATATTAATATCATGTCAGTACCATGTAAATATAAAATGATAAGTAATATTTTACTAATAGTAATTAGTCAATCATTAGTTATAAGAGCTTATTTGATCTAAAATAAAGTTACAAAAATTTAATTAAACGTAATAAAAGAATAAAGACTTATTTAAATATTCTTGAATAGTTTAGGAGTTTATTTAAGCATTATGTCAAAACTAAACAAAGCCAAAAGACAATGCTCATATAGTAAGTTATGATAAATTTTTAATGTACTCTTCATGTTGTACGCGTAAATTTAAGTGTACGTTGAAAATTAAATAATACCAAAAATAATGTTCATATCATAAGTTGTGATAGATTTTTAATGTACTTTTCACATTGTACGTGAAAATTTAAGTTCACGTTGAAATCTGAATAAAAACAAAAAATAATGTCTATATCATAAGTTATGATAGATTATTAATATACTTTTCATATCGTACGTGAAAATTTAAGTTCATGTTGAAATTTGAATAAAACCAAAAAATGATGTCTATATCATAAGTTATGATAGATTATTAATATACTTTTCATATCGTACGTGCAAATTTAAATTTACGTTGAAAACTTTGAAAATTAAATGATATCAAAAGATGATGCTGAAAACTAAATTGATACCAAAACTTGAATTTAATTAAAGAATTGTATTGATAACATGCTATAAAATATAACTATAAGAAAAAATATTAAAAGGTGTAAAAAGATTTTATTTGAGAGCGTATTCACAAATGAAGCAAGGGATTTATTTATAAGTTAATAAATTTTTAAATTTTAACCTTAATCCAATTCAATTTATATTCAAATCTAAATATAAATAATCAAATCTAAAAGTTCAAATCAGATCATACTTCTTTTGTGTCGCCTGCTGAGCTAATTAACTTGATTTAAACACTTAGGTCATATCATAATAGACATTTATATATATATATATATATATTCATAATAATCATTCATTAATATAATTTCATATTTGATGATAATTTCAATCAAAATTTGTTTCAAAAGTTTCAGTTACTTAAATATTAAGTGTCGGACCGTTTCTTATAGGAATTCATAACTTGTATCTACTTGATATTCATAAAAAAGAAATTTCTATTCGATTGAGACAATTCATAATAAATAACGGGGCATCCTGAATCTTAAAAATTAGGAATACCCTCACACTTACAATCCCTAGTTTCTTTTCTCTGTATACAAAATTACAGTACACGTTTTCTCGGTCAATCATACAAAATTTTACAAGCTATGGGCGTAAGGGTGCTTAGCCTCTATCGAAGGGTCCTGGCTAGGCCTGGAATTGAATCCCGGAACCTGAAATCTCTTCAAAAATGAAAGGAAAAGAAAAGCAGAGTTCATCTACAGAGTTGCCAATTTTTCCCGACGGTGTTTGCTCAGAACTCTCCTGGCCGTGGTCCGAAAAGGACAATTTGAGCTAACGAAACCATTTACCAACTGGAGATACGTACTGAGTTCGTGACAAGTCGCCACGCCTCCTTTGCTCAGGTGCGGGCACTCCTTGCTGCTAAGTCGAAGCTCTTGTCCCACGTCAGCATAAACCAACTGCGAGTCTACCACGCGCTTGTGAACCCAGCTTGGCAGTCCGGCCACGTTGACAGCCTGCTTGTCTGCCATGTCATTGTTGTCAATCACGAACCCGGGTACTTTTGTGATGAGATCGTCGGAGTTTACTATGCGTAGGATCTTGGTCCCGCTTCTCTCGAGCTGGCACCTGAAGCTTTGGTTTCCGACACGTGGTCCCCCGAATGAGATGACGGTCACCATCGGCGCATTGCTGAAGGTGGAGTTTATGTCGTGGGCAGCAAGTGTGGCTAGAGCCGCACCGAGACTGTGGCCAGTGAGGGTCAAGCTGAGGGGTTCGTCACTGTACATTTCGAGTACTCTCCCGATCTCTTCCCTCACCATATTCTGCAAACTAGGACAGGCGGCGGTGCCGGAAGTGTAAAGGCTCAAGAACCCACTCTCCACCATGGGTCCACATCCACTGTGTTTAAAACCCACATTGGCCACGTCATCGGGCAGAGAAGTCAGCGTGGCGCGTAGGTTCTCCAGCCACTCCAAGCAAGTGGCGGTGCCTCTGAAGGCGATCACCACGTCACGCCTGCCGAGCCTGGCGATCTCCTCCTTGTCCTGACAAACTGCCACGTAACCAATCCAGCTGGACTGAGTCGAAAGCCAGCTCGGTCCCCTGTCTATCCAACGTGGCAGCTGAATCCCACACGTGGCACGCAAGTTCTTGGTCGGTTTATAACCAGTCTCCCCAGTGCAAGACCTTGTCAGGAGAGTGTTCTTGGGGAACTTACACGTGGCAAAAGTGGGTGAAGAAGGATCAAAGTCGAACGACCGATATGCAGCTTCGACGAATTGCCCGTATCTCAGAATCTCACTTCTCAGCGTATCGTCAAGAGGGTCAAGCAAGCCATCCCAGTTGTTCATCCCCTGATACTCCATCCAATTCCTGGCGAGTTTAGCTGAGCTAGAGTGAGTGAAAAGCGAGCCATGTTTTAAAGGAGTCCATGAAAACTGTGGGTTTTCAGTGTTGAGCTTTAGAGGATTAATGGCGGTGGTGGGAACAGAGTATTGAGTGAGTTTTGGAGTAGTAGGCGAAGTGCATGGCTTGACAGTAATAGCTATTGCAGCAAGCCTCATATTGGACAAAAAAGTCTTTACAATATGTTTCCTTATGGAAATGTAGTTAGCCAGGAGATGGCTTGTGTGGTGATCTTGGTTTGGATGCTTGCTTGCTCACAATGGAATAAAAAACAATGGGGAATTTATAGGAAGGGGGAAGGGCCAGAGGGAGAGAGTGGACGGCGGTGCATGAATAAAGCAAAAAAAAATTTCAGAGGGTCTTACGCTTACTGGCAAGTGAAGGAAAATGAGTGACAAAAGTGAAGTGGGCGATGGGAAATGGGACAGGATTTTCACTTGTTTAATTGGGTGAAAAATTAACCGGAAAAACGGCCGTGGGTCCGACATGAGGTGAGTTTTTGATTGCGATGATGATTAATCCGACGAGATATGGCACATCACCGAGGAAGAAGATTTTGACAGGGACCCACACTGCACGACTTGGAAAATGACAAACTCTTTGTCTTTCCGACCATTAAGAGTTTTGACTCGTTCTGGCACGTGGATTTCACAGCATGAAATTGAAAGCCCCTGTTACTAGTTTGTTGGAGGGTGTTCCATTACTTGGAACAGGATTTTGTTTGATACTCGGAATTGGCCTTAGACTGCTCTGCTTTGGCCGGTTTATGGGGCTTTTGGTGGTATTTGGAGCCCCAAGATGACAAAGAGTAGTCTTCCCTTCTTGCTCTAAATTCTGACGTACGGTCTTCCTCCAGGTCTCACTCTTCTCTACTAAATTTCAAACCCAATTTCCTCCATTAAAGATAGAAGATAGAAATATGCTCACAAGGTCAGATGATATTGGACTTTACTGCTCATGACAATATTGTTTATGACAAGATCGGTGTTGGTATCAAAAGACAATATAGACAAGCAGTTCATAATATTAAGTATAAATCAAAATATTTTAGTCAACTTCTTATCTTTAAATGTTGCAACAGTCTAATAAAGATCAAATTTTTATAATCTTATGCCATCATGTTACAGTAAGTTATTATGATAGAATTTGTTATCATACTTTTTCTTGTTATATATTTTAATTTATAAATACATTGAATTATGTTCTTTTGACAATTACGAATTAACCACATATAAAAATTCGACAATGATTTACTTTTTCCTAATCATTGATAATTAATCTCCCGTTTCAATTCGCAGCCACAGAATGATGGGTTTCATATGACTGTTAAAACGTCGGATCACTGATAATTATTGTTACCTGCTGCTCCTTAATTAGTTAAAAGGACACCATTTTTTCTCAAAAGCTGTAGATGAAAGTCATCCAAAGAAACACCCAAACGTCTTTGTCACCATTTTATAAATGGATACGCATGGCAATCTGGTCAAATAATTAATAAGACAATAACTTTCATGATATTGGGCATGATACATCTGGCCATTGTATGGATGACATTGGTACTGCAAACATATCCATTGTTGAAATATCATATTGGATGGCATAATTACCCAAAAGAAAAGCTTATATGGATGTGGGAGCAAGTTTTTTATGTTTAGATAATTGGGTTTTTCTCTACACATCTTTTTTTTTTTCATGTTGATCACTATATTTTCATGTAAATCTCAATACAAAATACAGGTTTAAGTTGAAGAAGAGAATTCATTGATAGTATTGATCAAACAAATTAACCAAACTATGTGCATCAGCCACAAATCGAGGAACTATATGCAATTATAGAGATTCTAAAAGTTTACTAAATAAATGAATTTAACGATATGAGAATGAATACAACAACATTTTAAAAAATTATTGTGGAGAAGTATGTCAGGGAGGATTTTAATTTAGTTAGTGTTGTTGACAATGATAAGAGGACTCCATCACCGTAAAAAAAATCATATGATTTATGATTTTTTATGGTATAATCATTCTAAATATTGAAAATGTTATTCTAAAACTTAAAATATAATAATCGTATTTAAATATTTAATTCATTAATTGATATATAATTTTTTTTAAATACGTAAAATTCAAATCTCTTTTTAAATATATATATATATATATATATATATATAAACTTAAAACATAATGATCTTTGTACAAAGTAAGCAGAATATCCTAATACAAATAAGACCTGAGTTTGTACAAACAATTTAAAAACTCAAAAACAATGAACAATGTACATTCAAACAAGACAGAGGTTAAGAGTTTCCAGGTCCACTCTTGACAAAGTTATCTGTAAACTATTGGTCTTATTTGCTGAGTAAGTCTATAATAACATCAACTAATCTGCTACAACAGAGACAGAAGCCTGCTAATCCTTTATCTTCCATCTGAAAGGACGTTGTACATCACCCAAATCAGAGACAGGTCAAGCTTATCATTGATTCTCAAGTGAGAGGGCCATCACCAGGATCAGACTCAGAATACGTGGCTAACCTAGCTAGCTAATGTTTTCCTCGTGTGCGTCCCAAACCTACGACACCCTATAAATCTACATGACCAAAGCTATTATAGTACTTCAATTTCTTACACAAACAAAAGGAAAACGAGACTTTAACTTATTTGAGCAAATCAATCTATTGAGTATAATTTGTAATCACTGCCTACCCACGCATGATTGAATGAGTTCTATCAAATAGATATCATATCAGTATGGTATTTACAGGGGACTGGGGGTAGATTTCTAGTAATATTGGACAGTCTATGATTAGGGAGTACGAAATTAATTAAGATAAAAACCGAAAGTAGACTTTTGAAAATAAGTTGTTCGTGCCCTCAAAGGAAAGTAATTAAGTCGTGGATAGGGCATATGTTTGCCTTTTCCTAGCTTTATTCCTTTCCAATATAATTGCTATCTCACCAAAGTATCATGTGGGGTTTATCTAACTCGGGATAACTTTTCCTTTCTCTCCACGACTGATGGAAATGACAGACAAAACCCATCTGATATTGAGGAAGTAGATTGAATTGAATGGTGGGTTCCATTTACTTCCTCTACCACAAAAATGAGATAAACAGTATATTCGAGCCACATTCATCTCTTTTTCTGTCCTTTTTTTGAAAGAAATTTTATTAGAATATTGTAAGAGATATAGAGTCTAAATTCCTCTATCCATCAAAAATAGTAAAAAAAAAAAACCCAAAAAATAAAACATTACAGGAGGACAAAAAAATCAATTATACGAAAATTTTTTCATTTTGTCAACCTGTCAACTACAAAATTTGCCTCTAAAAAAAAAATGCTTGAAGTTAACCTGTGAATTCACTTTTTTTTTTTTTGTGTAACAAGTTTGACTTGTGATTAGTATTCTTTAAATATCGATACACAAAGCAAGGCAGTGGATATGTTGCCCCTGTTAGGTTTGAGTCGAAAAACAATGAGACCTTTGCTTTGGGTGGTAAAGGAAAATAGTCCACCTATTCCTAGCAAGTAGCACTGCCCGTTGTTAGGTTTGACGTACACATTGTCTGGCTGCCATTCTCTTCGGTACGATGATGATGCTGCTGATTATCATATCGTTATTCCATTTGTCTTCATTACTTTTTTTTTCTTTTTATTCCTAAATTACTCAAAAACAGGTGCATACTTTTTTGTGTCTTTGACTAATTTCATGTCATAGATAAATTCATTAATATTTACATAATTTAAAATATAAATCATGCAGTGGACTGTGGACGGAATGTGCTTTGTTTCCATCTGTACGAAAAAGTAAGTATAGCTATGTGAGCCATGTGATGCATCAAAATATTTTTCCGGCCATGGGAGGAGCCTATCCCACAGTATTATTAGTGATCATGGCACTTATCATTGGCCCATCTAGTCAAGGAAAGCAATCAATTTTGGATGAAGGGAAAATAAAAAGGGAAGAGCAGAGATTTTAGTGCAGTGTCATTCTCACCTCCCATGTACCATCCCTATTCCCTATCATAGGAAGTGGGATTATTTCGTCCTATTGGATAAATAAAAGCATGTTGATCAGTTCAAACATCAATAAATATAGCATGCAAAATATGTGGACTGTGGAGCCAATATATATTTTTTTTTGGAGAATGAGGATTTGAATTGTTTTTTTTTTTTTGGCACTAGATCATGTACTTATAATCATTGTACTGAATACTTGAATCTAAATCTATATTATTAGATTTTATAGGCCTTGCTCGTTCCCACTTTTAGTGGTATTATTTTGACCTATTGGGTAAATAGAGGCACATTGAACCGTTCAAACATCAAATATGTAACATGTAAAATATGTGGATTGTGAAATCGATATTTTTTTTATTTGGAGACGAAAGATTTGAATTAGATGCACTAATCATTAAGTTGAATTCTTGAATCTGAATCGTTATTAGTTTATTTTATAGACCTTGTTCTTTCCTACTTTTAATAATTAAGTGGTATTATTTCGTCCTATTGAGTATATAAAGGTTCATTGAATCATTCAAAAATCAAATATGTAGTATGGAAAATATGTGGACTATGGAGTCGATTTTGCTTTTATAAGAAAAGATTTGAATTCTACTATTTATGTAAGAGATCATACACTAATTTTTAAATTGAATGCTTTAATTTAAATCGATATTATTTTATTTTGTAGGTCTTGCTCTTTTCCGCTTTTGGTAATTGATATTATTTCACCCTATGAGTAAATAAAAGCACGTTGAACAGTTCAAACATCAAAATATAAAGCATGCCAAATATGTGAACTGTGGAGTTGATTTTTTTTATTTAAAAAATTTTTAAATTCTATTTTTATAAAAAAAAAAATCATGCATTAATCATTAAGTCCAATACTTCAATCCAAGCCACTATTATTTTTTTTCCATAGGCCTTGCCCTTCCCTGCTCTTCGTCCATTTTTAATTAGCAGCACAAAGGTCAGCAACAAAGGTCAAGGATCTCTGTCTTTTTCTTTTGTTGGGTTATCCTTCTTACGGGGACAAAGACAAAGAATTGACTAGCATTAGCCAGTAATTAAGTGAATGAGTTGTTGATATAATACAAAAACCACTGTTTCCATGAGAATGAAGATTGGATAGATTAGACATTAATTTAGTTGTTT